TCCAGCAAATTTGTTCCATGGGAAAAGCTTTTAACTAAGAATGCTTTATACTGCTCTTGTGTGGGCTTTGTTTCTGGGTCATGCAACTTCCCTGTGCCTTGGCATTACCAGCAGGCTCTGTGTTTTGTATCCTTTGTTCAGGATACGATACAGTTAGGATTTCATTTGGAGATTCTAGAGTATGAGGGTGGTAGGATTTGGGCTGACCTCAATAGATAACAGTCAGTGGTAATACCACACTATTACAGCAACCTATATTGTATCATATGCTGAAAATGGAAAACATGCTTTGGTATGATTGAGTAATTGCATTTTATCACTTCCACAAGCTCTTTACTCTGAGCAGTAAAAGATGTCCATTTCCACTGTGCATTTTGGTAACAAGCTAGATTTATTTTTTTATTGTTAGCTTTTACAGGAAAAAGTTTACTGAAAATATGACATTCTCAGGAAAGGAACCAAACAGATAGGAGTTTATTACACATGAAATGGTTTTGCCTACTTTCTTTCTTCCCTTTACTAGCTACTTTACTAACTGAGTAAGGCAGTGAGATAGGATGCACTTAGACTTCACTGCTGAGAGTCATCAGAAATCTTGAGTTTTCTTTCCAGGACATAGCTTGTGCTTTGAGCTGTAAACTACTCTGGTTCAGTCCCTCAACTGTCAATTCACAAGCAGTTTTCGTTCATCAACTGCAGTAAAACATTGTATCAATCACAGTCCCAGCAGTGGCTTGGGAGGCCAGATGAGCATTGTCAATTTTATAGAGTTCCAATTATTATACATATAATCTCTTACATGTGCTACCACTTCATCAGTTACAGCAGCCATAGCCAGAGAATGAGCAGAGGTTTTTGCTGAGCTGTCTGCAATAACGTAGTATCTTTTTCCTGAGTGATGACAGCTAATTTAAAACTCAACCTTAACTAGTAATGGCTATTCCTTCCAGTATGAAGTACTCCAATTTGCTAGGATTGAGTGTTTCTCAGGTCTGTTTTTTCATACTGCTCTGCAGACTATGATATACCCCTTACTGTCTTCAAATTGTGCTTTATATTATGTTATTCACATTTGTCACATTAGGTTCATTTTTCTTTTTTCTAGTTCAAGCCCTGAAGTTATGAGAAATGAGAAAAGGCAGTTGTATATACTTGTTGCAGAGCTTCCTGGTCCTGTTTCAAGTGAAACATGGGTTTACTGGTTGATGTGCTGTGGGACAGGTAGCAACACTGTGAGGCCTCCCATACTTTAGGACAGGGAGTGTGGGGAGGTCCTTGATTTTGCTGGGAGAATGTTCCTCATGTTGACCCAGCCCAGAAGACTCTGCCTGCTTCACAGAGGAGATTTACCATTTAAAGGAGTCCCTCATACCTGAAGGGAATGGAGTAATTCATAATTGTCTCAGAATGTTAAGGACCGTTTGGACTCCACCTTTAAATTACACAACAAGACTTTTACTCAGTGGTTGTGGAAAGCTGGTGTAGTCACTTGAAGAGAAATTGTACTGGTGGTTGTGTACTACATAGCTAAGGACACACTTTGCTGTTCAGGTGAGAGGAAATCTCAGGATTTAATTTTTAAATTGATCTTCATAATAATACTATATTTACATACAGATACTTGGGCACAAAGACCTGGTTTCAGTCTTGAAGCAAATGTAGGCTCCTGAGGTTTCTTACAATCTACTACTTGAACTGTAAGAGATCACTCAGAGATGAATGTTGCTTCTGTGCTCTGTGTGTGTTGATATTTTATTAAACACTAAGAGAACAATCTGTTAAACTAAGCTTTCAAACTGTGCAAAGAAGTAACCATATGGTTAGGAATTTGTTTGCTGCATTAAACTCTCTCACATCAATATAACCAAGAAAAGAAAAAATAATGAGGCTGTCACTACAACTAAACTGAAAACATTAAACAATTGCTGTCCTAAGCTTAAAAAATGTCTGGACTCTGCTGGAACCGATTGTTCATCTATGAAATGAAGCCTCTGAGATAGTCTGAAGAGAAAGGAAAAGGGGCACTGCTGAAGCCTCTTTGGCATATACCCAGGTGACATACAGACCCAACACACCCATGTCCTAGATTTGAATATAATTTGTGGTATCCAATCAGGCTGACTGTATAAACATATCAGGGAATATTATTAGTTAATTCCTGCATCAAGTCTGTAACCTCAGATTTAGCTATTTCATTTAGAAAGGTGTTGTGATCAGTCTCACCTCCATTCCTGGAAAGGTGATGAAACAACTTATCTTTGGTGCTGTGTCTAGACATATAAAGGGTAAGAGGGGCATTAGGAGCAGTCAACATGGTTTTACCAAGTCATGTTTAGCCAACCTGATGACCTTTTGTGAGAACATAACCAGCTGGATAGATGATGGTAGAGCAGTGGATGTGGTTTATCTTGATGTCAGTAAAGAATTTGACACCATCTCCCACAGAATCCTCAACAGCTAAACTGAGGAAGTGTGGTCTGGATGATTGGGTAGTGAAGTGGATTGTGAACTGGTTGAAGGAAAGAAGTTAGACAGTTGTGGTCAGTGGGGCAAAGTCTAGTTGGAGACTTGTATCTATTGGAGTTCCTCATGAGTTGGTACTGGGACCAGTACTATTCAATATATTTATCAATGAGCTGGGTGAGGGAACAGAGTGCACTATGAGCAAGGTTACTGACGACACTAAACTTAGAGGAGTGGCTGACACACCAGAAGGCTGTGCTGCCATTCAGTGAGACCTTCATAGGCTGGAGAGGTGGGCAGATAGAAGTTCAATGAAATTCAACAAGGCAAGTGTGGAGTCTTGCATCTGGGAGAGAACAACCCCATATACCAGTACAGGCTGGGGGCTGACCTGTTGGAGAGCAGCAAGGGGGAAAGAGATCTGGGGGTCCGGGGGGATAGGAAGATGACCATGAGCCAGCAATGTGCCCTTGTAGCCAAGAAGGCCAATGGTATCCTGGGGTGTATTAGAAGGGATGTGGTTTGTAGGTCGAGAGAGGTTCTCCTCCCCATCTACTCTGTCCTGGTGAGGCTGCATCTGGAATATTGTGTCCAATTCTGGGTCCTTCAGTTCAGGAGGGACAGAGAACTGCTTGAAAAGAGTCCAATGCAGGGCCACAAAGGTGATTAAGGAAGTGGAACCTCTTCCTTATGAGGAAAGGCTGAAGGAGCTGGGTCTCTTTAGCTTGGAGAAAAGGAGACTGAGGGGTGACCTCATTAACATTTACAAATATGTTAAGGGCCAGTGTCAGGAGGATGGAGCCAGGCTCTTCTCGTTATGTCTAATGATAGGAGTAGGGGCAATTGGTGGAAGCTGGAGCTTAGGAGGTTTCACGTAAAAGTGAGAAAAACCTGTTTCACTGTGTGAGTGACAGAGCACTGGAACAGGCTGCCCAGAGTCTCCTTTGCTGGAGACATTGAAATCCCACCTGGACACATTCCTGTGTGATGTGCTCTGGGTGACCCTGCTCTGTGAAGGGGGTTGGACTAGATGATCTTTTGAGGTCCCTTCCAACCCCTAACATTCTGTTTGTGGCTGTGAGCCTGCCTTGTCTTCTGTGCTTTGTTTAGAAGAGGGACAGGGGAACAAAGATGGCTGTCAGCACTTAGATTTATATGAAGAGCTTGAGTATGTCCCATTTTAATTCACAGGTAAATATGCAAAATCCATTGGAAGTTTGCTGTTATGAGCCTCAGCAAAATGATCACTATACCTTTTCCCTCTAATTTTTCTTTTATAATTGTATCTCACTTATTTTTAACTCCAGGAGAACTACTGAAGTCAGACTTAGATTAACTCCAAGTTAACTTAGTTTAACTTAGTTAACTTAGTTTAACTTGCCTCAGCTTTAGAGTTACTTTGTCTCCTGGCTTTTGTTCATGATGGAAATGACATTGACCTTAAGCCACTTAAACCATGGGCCATTCTGTTTATTGTAGAAGTGTGGGGGGTCAAAGTGGAGGAAGGAAATGCCAAGATTTGGCTTTCAGTTCTGTAGGAGTTTTGAAGAGTGAGGAGTGCTGGGAGCATGCACAAGAGCCAGCTTTGGGCTGTTGAACTCTGGTCTGTGAGTGTCATCTTAAAGATGGGGTAGGGGTGCAGTTTGGAGTGAGTGGCTCACGTTTTTCACTCATAAGAGCACAACTCCCTGAATGCTCTTCTTCTCACTGGCTCAAGACATTGCCCTGTGGTGCTGCTGTCCTTGCCTGTGGGACCAGAGTAAACAAATTTGCCCACAGTCAGCCAAAAAATTGAATTTTGGCCAATGTACCAAAACTGAGTCTTGCATAAATCACTTCATCCAGGAATCTTGGCTTTCTTTTCTGATAGTCATCTGAGATGAGCTTCATCCTTGTCTGTATTATGCATTGATGTTCTGACACAGCCAAGCCCTTGTTCCTTTTAGCAGGTACATGTCTCCTCTTGAAAAACACTCTTAGGTCAGTGGTGATAGAGATTAAATTAATGGGCTTATAAGGTATATTGGAAATGTAGATTTATGAAAATTGATTAGTTACTCAACAGTTTTGAGCAAATTTAAGACTCAGTCCTATTCTCATTCCAATCTATGAAAATGGTGGTATTAAATTATGAGGGCTAATCTCAGAACAAGAAGGTTCTTGCTGTGCATTAAGAGTATATGTTCAGTGCGATCATGAAGAACATACAGTGAATGCACAGTATGGTTGTCTACAGGGAAAACAAGTTTGCTGTATAGAAATGTTTTCATTCTATAAATTCAGTGACTTAACTTTTGCACATTTTTTGTTGTTTTGTTTGGGTTTTTTTCTGTAAGCAAGACCATAATTACATTTGAAATTATGATTTGTCTGTAATAAAAAAGAAACATTGTGGTTGTAGGAGATTGTTGAGCTAATTGGCATTAAATAATTTATTTTAATTAGTCATATTCCGGAGGATTAAAGAAAAAATCCTCATAGTGAAGCTGCTAAATTGATCAGTATACTTAATCATCTCTATGTTTTTTCCCAAACAGGCAGGAGAAAAACATTATCACCCAACGTGCGCACGATGTGTCAGGTGCAGTCAGATGTTTGCAGAAGGAGAAGAAATGTATCTGCAAGGTAAAAACAAATCTCAAAATCAACCAGTTGCACTTGGCAGCATGGCCCTCTTACCAATACCTGCTAACATCTCTGAGCTGTTTTGCACATATTCTCACGTAATAACTGTAAGAGAAGGTGAAGAATGCAGTGTGTAGGCTCAAGAAAAGCAAAAACAAATGCTTGTTGCTTCCTACTGGCAATTACTTCTCCCTCGGTTCAAATCCAATAGCAAGTGTGAATCATAGAAAGGATGAGTGGCAGTTATTTCCTGCAGATGAAAGTGCTTGACAGTGAAGTCTGTAAAATTTTCAATTTACTGAAAAAAATGTGTTTTTTCTGCTGTGATAAATAGCCCAGGTGAAAGTTAACATGCATGTGGCACAGCAAGTTCCCTCAAGCTGTTGTTTCAGTCCTAATCCAGTTCTGTGCCCAAATACCCACAAAGGGTGGAGAAGAGGATGCCATGGAGCTGAAGCCCTTACCATACTATATACCTACATCTTAGGCAGCCATAAGCTCCTACAGGAGAAATTCAGTGTTTCTTCTCAGGGAATTTCAATGGTAATAGAGAGGGAATTGCAAAACAATTTATCCAACAGAGGGATAAAAAAATAAAATATATATACATAGGAGATAAATCATCTGTAGCAACTTCAGTTGTACTTAACTGATCAAAAGAAACAATGTTTACATGGTTAAATACAGGGTCAGGCACCAGAGAAAATGAAGGCCTGCATCTTTGACGAATCTTTTTAAAGGAAAACAGAAAAGAGAAACTCAGTAGGATGTGGGAGCTGCAAGGCTGGTCTATTATCCTAAAATCACATGCTTGCCCAGATCTGTATTACAACTTTGCAATTGTCCACAGTTTTCCAGAAGAGTACTTTGAAATAATGCATTAAGCTGTAGAAGTTGGACTTTATGTAAAACACAATAGTGGTCTCACTAAGATCTAATTATAATTTAGTATGTTCTTTAAAATGACAATTTTATTCTCACTTTGGTCTACAACAAGAACTAGCTCATTAAAGGACATAATGATTCTTGTCTGTGCTCATGGGTTCTCCCTCAGAAGCCAGAAAATGTTGTGGTTCTTCCAATTGCAAAATAGCTTAGTGGTACTAAAACCCCCATGGAAATCAATGCTTTAAAAAAAAAAGATACCAAACTACCAATTTGTTTCTAGATTTCAATCCCTCTGAAAAAGGGTTGCAATGAATTATCTTTTTCAGTTCAGTTAGTTGTAAGGGTGGATATTTGTTACATTTTGTGCCGATTTTTAATTGAAATAATCACACTGTTCTCAGGTGTTGTTAATTTGCACTTTAATTAACTTTATTTTCTTATGCATGAAACATTCATACCAGCTTAATATTGTACACTTTTTATCTTCACATGAGAAGAGCAGTTCCCATTAGAAACTGCTAGTAACATCTTGAAAGATCTGTGATTAGGGTTTTGGACTGCTTGACTTGATGTGTTAGATAAATCATGTGTTAATAAAAAAAAAAGAAAAAAGAATTACACCCCAGGGTTTTGTAACTTATTCTTCATCTTCTTAATTAATGTAAAGTTCCTTTAGGTGTTGCATGTTCCTTAGCAGAAATTGAGTCTTTAGTGGTCATCCACCAGATGGCTGTTGGATGAATGAGCTGTTTTCTTCAGTATGAAGGAGTTTCCCAGCCAGTAGTCTGTGATCAGAGATAGGAGTAGGTAATTAAAAAAAGTTGATCTGGTTACTGCTTATAAACCACTGAGACAATTTACATCAGTTTATGGAGCAGCTGGAACAAACTCATTCAATGGGCAAGCTCACACCCACCGTAATTGGAACGTAAATAATCATTAAATATAAAGGTGCTATAAAGACAGGATTTTAGTGGTTTGGTGAACCCCAAAAATTCAGTAAGTTAGTAAATATAATTTATCTAGTCTGTACTTACACATAGTCTTTTGCTACTTGAGGCTGAATTAATCTGGGTTATTTTTGTGAAATGTATTCTAATGATCTCCATCTGTCTTCTGGGATATAGTCGTTCTGTTTCTATCTTGTTTCCAAAATCCACTGGTTAGGAAACTATCAAACTGCAGTGAAAACAAAACATTTCCAATAAATCTTTTGGGTGCTCTCCACCCAGTATAAACATGAAATATTTATAACACTAAAGTTCTCAACTTCTTATTTAGTCAAGCAGAAGTTGCAGTGCACTGATATTATTTAAAGGTATGGAGCTTCAGCTTTAGGCTTCTCAGAGCTCAGACTGGCATAAACATAAAGGTTCCATTTTACTATTAAAATTTACAAGTAATTATTTTATTTTGTATAATTACACATTGAACTTCCATTGAACACTGAGTATTGAACATTGTGTTCAACTTTTTGTAAGGTTTTTTTGTGGTGTTTTTTTTCTGGCTGATGCAAAGGTATTAGGTTTCTTTCTCACACAGTTACTTGTATCTCTGGAGTTCACAATCCTCTCTTCATTACTTACATGCAGTAGAGAATTAGTTAATTCTGTATTTTCTGCTTCCTCCAGGGTGGATATTCCCCTGAATTAGTATTTTACTTATGAGAGATAAACGTGTAGGCAGTGCAAGGTCAGTATAATGAATAATTCACAAAGACTGGATTTTCAGCTAGTGTTAGATACCTCAATGCTATTTCATTCCAGCCCAGTGTGCTCCTTAGTATGGACTGGGCCAAACTATTGCAAGAGTATGTTAGGAAGAGTACAGGAAGTTCCAACTACATAAAAGGAAAAAAAAAATACCATGACAGTGGAACAGGTTACTCAAAGATGCTGTGCTATCTTGATCTTGGAGGTATATAGAACCCAACTGGGCACATCCCTAAGCTGCCTGCTGTAGTGGGACATGCTCTGAGATGGAGATTGGGCTGGAAGAGCTCCAGAGATCCTACATCACACTTCTTAGGACTCAGGTTATTATGTTGATCTCATATATTGAAGTAAATGTAGCTTTCTGAAGTGCACCTAGTCTTTAAAATGCACATGATCAAGCTTACAGATATTCACAGAATCCTAGAATGGTTTGGGTTGGAAGGGACCTTAAAGATCTTCTATTTCCAAACCCCCTACCATGGGCAGGGACACCTCCCAGTAGACCAGGTTGCTCAGAGCCCCATCCAACTTGGGCCTTGGACACTTCAGGGAGGGGCCTTCCACAGCTTCCCTGGGCAATCTGTGCCAGTGTCTCACCACCGTCACTAAAGAATTTCTTCCTGATGTCTAATCTAAATTTACCCCCTTTCATTGAGAAGCTGTTGGTTTTAGCTTTTAAAATATCCATGAACAAGTGCATGCAGTGGAATTGGTCAGTATTCTGTGTCTTATAAAACCTTATGGGACGGTTTATTAATGTTCTTATTTTAAAACTCTGAAGGTTCTTATTGCAGAACTTTAAATTTAATTTTCAGGTACATCCATTTGGCATCCAGTTTGTAGACAGGCTGCAAAGGCTGAAGAAAAAAACAAGGCAAGAATACCTCATTTTTACCTAATGTTTTTTCATTGTCATATTGTTGTCTGTCCCCTTTTTTTTTTGCCTTTTTTTTTTTTTTTTCAGCAGACACGGAGGGGAGGATTTGGATTTTTTTTACAACTGCAGTTTTAAATTTGGAATTACAGAAATCTGTTAGGTTAATGTGGTGTAATACTGTCATCTTAATGTTCTGTGATTAAGTGCTGCAACTTCAGGAGAATGCTGGCCTAAGAGTTACATGTCGAAGCTAAATAAGGAAAAAAAGTTAATTTTTAACTTCTGCCTGATTATGATGTGATCAGTACATGACCCCTTCTTATTTTATGTGGCTCTGCACTTAAAAGAACAGAGGATTTTCACTGTATTTGTTTTTACATAAAAATCTCTCACTGGAATTTCTTTTTTATTTTCTTGCTTGTACAATGTTGGCAAGTGAGCCCCAGCTGAACTTAATCTCTGGCTTCAAGTACCTCCTTACATTGGGTGATTTGTGCATCCTTTTGTGTGCAAGAGTAAAAAGGGGGAGTTCTGGCAACTGTAATAATTACCATGTTAACAGATGAATACACTGCCCCCAGGAAACAAGAATTAATCTGTAGCTGGGGAAATGATCTCTCTGAAGTGGTGGGACTGAGATGCAACTGCCTAATTTAATGCAGAGGCTAATTAGGGGGTTTTCCAGTTCTGCTGTTCTCCGATGCTCCAAGTGGTACCCTTGGTGTCCTTGTTCAAAAAACCTCTGCTTTGATTCAGCGAGACTTGGGTGGAAGGACCATGAGATGAGACAGAGCAGCAGGCAGCAGCTAGAAAAAGAATGTTTTCAAATTTAGTGTGTTAGCAAGTACAACTTTGAGAAAATTACAGTTTTGGAAAGAGAAAATATTAAAAGAAATTGGTTTGGGCTTTACTGTAAAGAATCTTGGCTGTATTTTTTGTACCCATATGTTTGGAAAGAGATTTCTCTGGTGTTCTTCATAGCAAACTCTGAATATCAAATAACTAGCATTTCAGTATAAAATGTGTTGTTTAATATATGTTTATTTTAAATTGTCAAAATACTTTAGTAAGTGCTGCTGATTCAGCTTAATACTATTAAGCAGTATTTCAGACTTCCTAAGAATTTTATTCTGGTTGATTATTGGAAATGGCAAGGCCAAAACTCCATGTAATGTACTGAAAATGTAGTAGGTTTAGGTTTTTTCCTCTTCCTTCAAAGAAAGGCAGTGGACAAAGTTGTAGTGGGTTCCTACAGGCTGCCTTTTCCGCACAAAGACAAAGAAAATGTACTTGTAAGATACTCTGTAAAGGCTGACTCACAGCACATCTCTCCAACTGCTGGGAGTCTGCCCTGTCCCCAGCTGAGAGGAAGACATCTGTATCTGAAAGTCAGTGGGAGTTTTCCCTGAGTAGGAAAAAAAAACACAGAATGGAGCTCAAATAGTTTTTCCAAGACTAGTCATTTTTCCTTTTCTTTGGGTTTTCCTGTTTTTTTCAGTCTTTACACTCATTATTGAAAAAATAAACCAAGAAGTAAGGATCCTGTTTCAAAGAAGGTAGTAACGTTACTTTTCTATATATGTTAGAACGTTATAAAACGTTATTTTTCTATATATTTACATAGATACATGCACACCATGTAATTAAATAGGTGACAAAGGCAAAAGGAGTAAGTGTCAGCACACTCCAAAACTTTGAAGATGGAGTGGAAGGGAAAAAAGTTGTTACAGAGTGAAAGGAAAAAGAAGAATGATGGGAGAGAGATATTGTAAGCAGAAGGGATAAAATTGGAAAAGACAAATGAATCAGAGCAGCAAGAAAAAGAATAAGGGTTATCAAAAGACATAAAGGAAAAAGATGTAGGTGGAGGGGAGAATAAAAATGCATATTGCAGAGAAAAGAACTGAACAGAAGCAATGGAGTCAACTGAGGTGTGAATTTGTATTGCAGCAGCTACGAGATCTATGCAGCAGGCATGGGCTGGGCATGCTAAAAGGGGTATTGGGTCAGGAGGAGACTAAAGAGCATTTGTGAGAAGTGGAATGAGCAGGGTTTAATCACCAGGAGGAGAAATGGAACGATCTGTGGGAGTAACTGAATAGCATAAAGAATCATGGAAGCAATCTGCATAAGTACCTTAGAAAGATGAGGCTTTACACTTTAATTTCAGAAGATAGAAATGGTAATGATTTGTAGTTCTTCTTAAAAACAAGATGGCACCTCTAGATTGAGGAAAACCACTGAAAGAGCTCCAGGAATTTATTAACAGTTACTAAATACATTCAGCGCGGTATATTATGTGCTTTAAGGTAATGCTGCACTGTGTGATCTTAAAATACGCTCCATGGATGCAGATGGCACAGAAAGAAGCTCTGAAGCTTTATCCAGGGAATCCTGAGTGTGAATTGTCATTTGACTTCAAGAGGGTTTAAAAATCTGAAATAGTGTTGTTTTCTTCCAAGTTTTTATGTCTGTTGTGTTGTACCTTCTGGAGGGACATTGTGAAAAAGAAGTATGGTTTGCACCTCAGTGCCATTTACACAAGTTCTGGAAAACTGCAATGTGCTTTAACTGTGCAGAAGAGCAGTGCATTTGCACTGTCCATGTTGAATGATCATCTCAATGGCAGCCATAAGTATTTCTGAGAGTATTCTCTATTTCCATGCTGGTATATGGCTTATCCCTTAAGACGTTTTGGTCTTGTTCAGAGCCCCTGTGTGAGACTTCTGAAAATAAAAGGGAGAAAATTCCAAAATCCCAGCCAGGCATAAAAAAAAAATAATTAATTTAATCTTTATTATATAGATAAGTATCTCCATATACAGTCTCAGAGAAATATATAGGACTATTTGGCTTAAAGAAGCTCAGTGGAATCAAAGTTGTGATCATTTGAGTTTGTTTGCTCTGCTAACACAGTACCGTACAGATATATTCACATATTGCTTCTAAAAGGTAGCAAATACTTAAAAACTGGAGTATTGGGAAGCTTGCTACCCTGACTTGACAGGTTAATAATGCTAAAATTATTGTAAGGGTTTGAACAGTTGTAACCTTCAGGTCAGAAGTTTCAGCTTTTGGTGAGAGTAAATTATGATAATTCTGAGCACATGGAAAAATACATACTTTTTGTAGTCAAGCACAGGTTTTTTCCACAGATGCAAAATAATAATTTATTAAAAAATAACTTATCTGGACAAAAGAAGGTGTGAAACCTTCAATTTCAAAGTAAGATTTGTTTAAACTTCAGTTATGGATGTCAGGTCTCTTCACTCATGTTCAATATCATTGTGCCTCACAACCCTTTGTTATTTAAAATAAATTATATTTTTCATCATAAAGGAATCGACTAAAACCAACAGTAAAGGTCTGTCACTCTGAATGCCAGAATGATGGAAAACAGAGCAAAACCAGTTGAGTAGTAAAATCAATCTGGTAATATTAGTGTTCAGAGAGGGAAAAGCTGCCCATTGGGTGTCTGATGCAGGATGCTTTGCAGGATGTTGTGCTGTTTTCTGTGAGGGGAATGGCATGGTAGTGTGACATGTTCCAGAAGCAGTGTAGATTGGTTTGTTGGTATAACCTTAGAGTAAAAATGCTTCCACCATATCATCTTGTGATCCCAGACTTGGAGCTAATATAACTTGACCTGCCTGTGGTAAATGCCCAAAGGCTGTCCTGGCAGACCAGAAGTGATCCAGTGACCATTCTGAAGGGAGGGGAAATGAAAATAATCAGTAAAATAATTTCTGCATTTTCAAAAGGTCAATTTGATTGATTGCAAGTGTTCTTTTATTTCAAAGTCTTTGGTATGTCTGTGTGTTTTGAGCTCACTGTAATAGGCCATTCTTGAGTGGTAAAGATTTAATAAAATTGAATGTCTTGCACACTTTTTGAAGTAGCAGATTTTGTCTCCCTTTCCTCTGTTTCTTATCTGTTTCATTTATTTTGCCATAGGAAACAAGGACTTCATCTGAGAGTATTATTTCTGTACCTGCTTCAAGTACATCAGGTTCCCCAAGCCGTGTGATCTATGTGAGTATTTCAGGGTGAAGTTTGTTCTGGAGGATGGGAAAAACCCTGTGTGTCCTCCTACAGTTTAGTATGTTGTGTGGGACGCAGGTGTCTTCAAACCTCTGCAACTGGTGATTCCTCTGAAACAGAACTGACATATTTGAATACTGCATTTGCTATAACAGAATTCTGGGAGTTTCCTCTTACTTTTTGTGGTGTATTTATAGGACTTACATTACCACTAGGGCTGGCTTCTACCAAAGCATACAAAATACCACAGTGTGCTTTCTAAAAAGAAAAGCTTAAGAAACAGTGCAGCCAACAGGTAGATTACAAGCTTAGATTTTAACACAACTTGTCTAAATCAAGCTCTAGAGCCTGCATCTGATTGCTTATGAAAGCATGTGATTGTAAGACTCAAGCCCTGACAAATGCCAGTCCTTAACCTCAGAGTACCTTTGATGTGTTTATGGTCTAAGAAGCACTAGCTCTGGAAACTCACAGAGAGACTTCAAAATAACAAGTGTGATAAAGCTTAGGCTAAGTATTTTTTCAGTACCCAGTGTACTTTGCTTGCCATAAGCACTGTAGCCAATGTTTGTGGCCAAATTCTCAAGGCTACCACCACTGGATAAAAAATATCTTCAGGTGTGACATGTTCCATACAAACTTATCTTCAAATACTTCAATATTCCCAGGGCTATTCTTTGTCCTGTCGAGGCATCCCTCAGGTAGCCAGGTCCTTCTCATTGGGTAGGACCATATGCAGAGGACATTGCTGGAGATGTGATTGACTGCCAGAGAGGCTATTATGCAAAGTTTAAGGGATTTTATCTACTACATTGAGACAAGCAAAAGAGTTAAATTAATCTTTTTTCTTCAAGTAAAAATTACTTTAAACACAATATCCAGAAGAGCTGCATGCTGGTGGAAACCAGTGGTATATTCATAGGGAAAAAAAAGGCATTGCCTCAACTCCTGGAAAGCATTTAGTTGTGCTAGGAGCCTGTTATCATGTAGATACTTTTTTTGGCCAGGTGGTCTCTATCTCTCCAGCCATGCATCACTTCTTTATTTCTAGAAGCATGACCACATTTTTAGTGATGTTTATCTGACTTCTTGATGGTGCTGGTTTTAAAATGTTTGTGGTTGCAGCTTTAAATGTGCTGCACAGGCAGTTAAAAGACAAGGACAAGCTCCATTTTCTTTTTTCTGTTTTTCCAAAGGATATAATTAAATCTGTACAAAACTCCAGTATTTGTTTCTGTAATATACTTTGTAGTCAGCTGGGACTGTGAAAGAATAAAGTTCTCTAGCAAATACGAGTCAATTAGGAAAAAAAGATTCCCCAAAGGCGTGCAAGTTCTTGCTGTATCTGTCTCATCTCTGACTACTTAATAGTCAGAAAGCTGTGAGATTGATTAAATCCTATTTTGGCTTTCACAAAAAGGGAAGAAAAAAAACCTGAAAACATGTTATTGAATTTCTGTATCATCAAAGCAATTATTTGACTATCTTTTGCATCTGTTTTCTGTTACAGGAGTGTTAGGACATACAGACATGCTCAGTATTTGTCTTGGGTGCTTTCATGATTGGTTTTACCAAACCTAAATTCATGCTGCACTGAAAGGAAGGTCCCACCCACATGTGACCCTGTCCTTCTCCAGCCACATCTTCCCATCTCCACTTTGGTGCTAGTACTAGAGAGTACAAAGAGGTATGATCAGTCAGATTTGAGACCATATTCAGCTAAAAATAGCCTAGGAAAACATCCAGACAACCAAAGAGGGGGAAAAAAAACCAACCACCAGCTCTCTACATGTCTCAGATACTAATGTAGAAGGCTGAGCAGAGTGGGAAGGCACACACAGGACAGCCTCTTCCAGCAGTAGATTGGATTCAGATCATTCAAAGAGTAAAACTGTATCTTAACTATTGAGCTCTGTGAAGTATCCTGTTGGACAAAAGAGAAAACAGTAAAAAGTTTAGGAACTGTGAATTCGTGGTCCTCATACTCTCAAAGGCACCAAGTCAGAGCAATAGATTCATTCTGAAAAACCCACCATTGCATGGGAAATATGTCCCTGGGTCATGGTTGAGTGGTCAGCTATGGAAAGATGAGGAAAGCACGTTTGGACTAAACCTGAATGGGGTTCATGCAGGTGGTTTACTAAAGCTGTGCTACTCTTTCTTCATCTGCTGATATCAGACTTTGATGTCTTCTTGCACTGAGAGATGACATAGGCCAATGTCCTTTGAAGTTAGTGGGCATCTTTTCATTAACTTTAGTGATGGCTTCATTATATTCAGACTGAAATTTGTCCCAGTACAGATGTCCCCTCGGAGTCCCTAACTTCCCCTTAAAAATCAGTTTATTTCTAAATCATGCAATTAAATAGGGCTTAAATGAAGTGCTTTTTTATACTTATTTATTTATTTATGGCGAATTAGGAGCTCCCTGCAAAGATATATATCTATCTGGAAGGTTTGGGTTAGGATACGTAGCTGTGTTGTACTTTCTTGTACTAGGAATAGAAATCACATTATAATTTTATACTATGCTATTATACAATTGTAAAATTACATACTCCAAATGAAATAGATACTCTAAACTTAGAGCATTGTTTTAACAGAATCCAAAATACCAGATTATTGAGGAAATGTCTTAATTTGAGCCTTCCCTAGCAGATTTGAATTCCACTCATGTAGTTGAAAGTAGGTGAAACAAATAAAATAAAAAGCAATGTAGGTTGCATGTTTGTAGAATTGAGTTCTTAGAAAGCAACTGTATCTCTAAGGTGCTTTTTATCCAAAGTTGCCTACATTTTGATACTTAAACTGAAAGGAATTGTGTAACTTACTTTTAGTCCTGACAGTTGTGATGTGTAGTGAGAGGATCTCAAGTTGCTTTCTAGGTGGAGAAATATGGGGTGAAATTGTCATAATTCATATTTAAATACTCCCAATTCTGAAATTCTTTGGGTTCACTAGAATAATCTCCACATCCCTGAGCACCTTTAAAAATAAATTATCACAGCCTCCTTGGCCTTCCTTGTAGGGGCAATGCTCTCCAAAGGTTTCCTGGAACAGACCTGATGGACAAACTCTTCCTTATCTTTGCATGACCTGTCTTTGCATCACAGCTTGCCACTGGCTTCTCAGGGGGGAGGAGTTTATTCTCATTAAGGTGCTATTTCATTGCTCTTGAGCTTCTTAAAGTATCTGCAAGTAAGGCGAGATCTGTAGATCGCTGAAAATCACGTATCTGATTAAAAAACATTTTTTATTAGTTTTGAGGATGAGAGTATGTGATGGTTATGACAGCTTTGCTCCACTTTGTTATTTAAGAGGAATCTTCCTCCTTTCCATGTGGCTTACATTTGCACAAATTCATACATCATTTTAGAAAAAGGGTTAACTGAAAGTTGTCACTCCAAATTTTTCCCATATGGTTAACCTTATAGAAAACTTCCCTGGAAATCTGTTGAACTTTCCTCAACTCATACTAAGAAAAAAATATAATCATGGCATACACAAATCCTGGATACTTTCATATTTTTACATGTGGAAAACATTATTATAAGTTTTGCAGATTATCATATTGAGATTTTTAGAGAATAGCAAGTTTTGTTGCCAACAAAGAGCTTGTCATTCTGTAAAACCTGAACTGAGAATAAGACAATGACTCTGCCCATTTCTCTACTCTCAATGTGGCCAACTTGTCATATCTACAAGACATTATATGCTGGATAAAGTTTTGGTGCAGGTTACCATTATCCTAAGGATAATCTCTGCAAATGTGGCATTTTCATAATTACACTTTTGGAATAAGCATAGTAAGAGGAGAACGGGGAGCAACACAGCCCTTTCCCTCAGTATGTGAGCCTCATCAAAGGATTTGAACTTTACTTAAGTGGCATTTGTGTTCTTCCAGACAATCTACCATGGTGCAAATCCATCATCTCCTGGTTTGTGACCCATAATTAAGGGCTACTTAGACATAGTCAGGAAAGGAGGTGAAGCTGTGGGACAGTGCTGAATGGAAAAAATTAAAGACCTGGCATGTTTTTCAGCATCTGGAGAGTATATGTTAGAAAGACATATTTGATTATTCACTACTGCTTGTGGGAGGTGAACCCTGCACACCAAAACCACTTCAAAATAAAGGGCGTTTTGCCTAAGAAAGGCGACAGTGTCTTTCCCCATGTCTGTGCAGCTAGCACTACTGGGATATAACCAGGGGAACTGGAATGATGCCCTGCTACTCCTATTAGCCAGATGTGAATGACAAAGAAAAGCAGAAAGCACCAGTATGCAAAAAGGAAACAGTAGTAATCTTTAGCATTGTGTAGTAAATAGATTTCAATGCGCACAAACATAAGTCATTTATGATGATGTTGATGACTTTTCTACCTGCACTTATCTGTCCTTATCTGATTGCATCCTGATCATTTTCTTTCTTATTCTCACTGCTTTCTTTCCTCCTTTTCTTAGGCAAAGCTTGGAGATGAAATTCTTGACTACAGGGATTTGGCTGCTCTTCCTAAAAATAAAGCCATCTATAACATTGACCGCCCAGATATGATCTCCTATTCTCCATATATCAGTTACTCTTCAGATGACAGGCATAGTTACGGGGAGGTACTGAAACATGGGTATTTTTTTTTACTATGCATTTGAGATTTTATGTGCATCATTAAACATGTTGCTGAACACTTTTAAACATATGCATAATTAAAAAGAAAAATAACTTTTATAACTTCAGCTGAGTCATGTCATCCGTTCATTCACTAGGCATTTTAGCCTCCAAAACACAAACAAGATGTTAATTTCATTTTTTAGTTTGTGGAAGTTAAAGAATTGTTTTCTGTGATAATTTTTAAACAGATGACATGGTCAAAATATGTTTTCCTGTGAGAGGAATTCTACATGCATGCGGTAGGAAACAGGAGCCATTGCTAATTATAATGCCAAAATCAGAAGCAAAGCCCAATGTCTTTCATTATTATTTATTTTTTTTTAAAGTGTACCATGTTATTTTGGTAATACAACGAGACCACATTCCCATGTACAAGTTTCTTTCCACTGTCCCTTACTAAAAGTTCATCCTCATGTCACACGTGCATTTCTACCTATTCATATGCAGAGCTAATATTATGCAGTTTTTGCTAATGAAATCTAGTTTAACAGTCTTACTAATATTAATTCCTTTTTTTTGGTGAAGCATATTTGTATATAACTCCTGCCATGCAAGTTAGCTTTTCTTTCTAACCATATCTAACTTTTGTTTGAATTCCTGATTTCTTTTGTAATTTTAGGTACTTTTATACAAATCAAACCTCTTTCATGTGCTACATATATTATCAAGATATATATGGTCTAGAATGGAAGTCTGCATTGTTCTCTATAGGTGTCAGTGAATGGATAGAAATCCTATAAATAATAGTCATACTGTTTCTAATAGCCCCAGTCCTACTGTCACACATTGTACACTTAATTAACTACTAAAGTCTTAGTATTACACCCAGGTAAATTGCAACACCTGTTAGATCTTCCAGCATCTCTTCCAGCCCTTCTTTCTACAATGCTGAACCCTGGTAGCTTTATTGTAGTACATGCTAAAAGAACTAAAATTGTACCTGCTAAAGGCTTTAAATGGTATTTAGGTTTCTGAATTCACAAAACATAAAGCTGCTTTCCAGCCCTGAACTTGTGGAGTATAGGTATTTCCTTTCTGTGTTAAAATGTGTGAGTGCTGATAATGTTACTGGCCCTCCTCAGCTGCCTGTTTACATGTAGGATTGGCAGAGATGACAGCCAGGTGTGGCAGAGGTCCATAAACTAAGCAATCTTCTGCCTGCTCCAGTGAGGACTTAATCAATGGCAAATAAATGGTTATAAAACCATCACATCCAACATAAATCTGTGTTGCTGCTGGAAGGAGTGTCCCTCTGCCTGCCCTCAGCATCTCCTCGGTCACTTGCTGCTCTCCTGTCCTTTGCCAGAGCACGTGTCCGTGTGGCTGTGCCAAGGCTTAGGTTTATTCTGGGCTCCTGGCGTGATCTGACCCTGGGCTGTCACTCAAAGGCTGGAGATCCTGCAGGTGGGACAACTGCCTGGTGGTTCAGGGAAGCTGCCTGTCTTAGTGGGAGCCCTCTGGCCTTTGCTGGGACCCAGCAGCTGTGACCTCTGGGAATCTCAGTATCGTACTTTTCACGAGGGGGTTAGAAGGTAGTTGCAGTTGAGCTCTAAAACCTCAACTAACCAAAAAAAACAACCAACAAAACAGCACAGGAAAGAGGGTATTGCTGCTGTCACCTCCTTTTAGTGGGTAGCTCAGTGATTCACCCATGAGAGGAGGAATTTATTGGGACAACTGGAGGCATCGCCCTTTTCAGAAAATATGTACCTTAACAGAAGATAAAAGGAACCACACCATGAAAGAGGGCCTTCTCCCTTGGGGCTGGAGAAAAGGCCTTGGTTCATGTTTGAGAAGCAGCCCAAAACCTGCTTGGAAAACATCTGTTTGCTTGCTTCCAAAAACCCATGTGGGCCCAGGAAGTGGCATCTCCTGCAACCACAGTTGCTGGCATGTGGATATATTTAATCAAGTGTTTGGTTGTATTTAGGCAAGCTTTAAGCTGGATGTATTTCTGAACAATTATGGTTAAGATACCCGCCTTAACATGGACCAGCCAGTTTTCTGCTTTCAAAGATGGGCATCTTTTAAAGCTCACACCGAGTTTAATGCACATCTGCTCTTTCCCCAGAGTTTGCAACACAAACTTAATGCTGTCTCAGGTAGGTCTGTGGGCATTCATGGCAGCAAGACCCCTGTGTTTTATCTTAAAAAAGACCACCCCACAACAAAACAAAAGGGCTAATGGCAATGGTTCACATCCAACATGCACATTTTCATGGTGCTGCAAATATGTCCTTGATATTGTTGGGGGCAGGGGGGAAGTCCTGTCTTCCAAATTTCTTCCAAATATCTGCAGCTGCAATAGTTCTAGTAGATTTGCTCAAGTAACCAAACTGAGCATTTAATTTTGAAAGGAAAATGAGTGAATAGTGAACTGACAAATTACATTATGTTTAATTAAAAATTAAATAGTACAGATATTATTCTTTCCTCCAAAATAGCCAGCTCTGAGCAACGGTGTTCTAGTCCAGATTTTGGAGGTACTTAAATGCAGCTTTTAATTAGGGCTTGTGTCTAGTCTCAGGCAGTTACTTTAAATGGGGTTTTCCCTACTAGTAGCACTCCTTGCAATACAGGACTTGCCTCACCAGGCTGCAGGGTTTTGTTGTAAAGAAATCAACAAAAGCTGTAGATTAAATTATTTCTATTTTATTCCTTATTTACTTACTTAAAAACAGATAAGAAAAATTTCCCTAGCTTAATTGACAGGTATTTTTCTTAACTGTATCATTTGTTGTACATGGATATCGTTATTTTAAGAGTAGTTCTTCTCACAAGTAACATCATGCATGAATTTGTTTCACTAATTTGTTGTGTGTTGCTGTTTGCAGTCACCTCAGTTGCTCTCTCCAACACCTACTGAGGTAATCCCCAATGCCTTCGTTGTCCTGTTCTGACCCATGTTGTGATGCATAAACCAGGTCATATTGATAACCAGCAGCATCTGAAATATGGAGTTTGCCTCCTACCTCTACAGTGCATGGGGTTTTATAATTTATGTTTTTCACAGTGTTACTTGAATACGTGCTCTGCTTCTGGATTGTCATCTGTATGCATCTCCCTTCACTGTCATCCATGTTCCTGCTTTCCAAAATAAAGGTTGTATTGTGGTCACTCCTTCAAGCTCTCCTAAATAAATTACATTGGGAAATATTATTTATGGTTACATTTAAAGCTGTCAGTGTGAATTGCCTTGAAATAATGCTTGGCATAGCTTTTTTTTTGCTTTTTTTTTTCTTTTTTATTCCACAAATAGTTAAACTATTTATACTGTTTGTGTACACATGCTATTAAATCATTTGCACATACCTGAACTTCTAGTTCTATGTATTTTGATGTGCATTAATGATCAAAGCCAGTCATTGTTTCAAAATACATCACTTGGAAGCAATGAAAGCATTTCACACAGCTTCCCAGGTAGTAACTCAGTTACGTATCACAGGCTAATTTCTTCATTGTCCTGGTTTTATGTTAAGAGAAATGTATTTCAAAATTTTGGAAATAGTGGAGAATTGTGAATTTTCATTTAAGGATTGTAAATAGCCAACTGTCCCTATAAGCAATGGTTAAACAGAGAAGTTGACCAACAGAAATGTAATTTAACTGGTAGTTTTAAAATAAAAAAGTACTTTATTTAATCTTGAATTTCATGAACTTGATTGACTGTTCCTTACAGAGACACAAAGTACACCAGAGGTAAGGTCTGAAATAATCAAATATGAAGTCTTGGTGTTTTGGAAGATTATAATCATTTCCTTTCAATTAGCTAACAGTTAGCAAACATTCATGCTATTGCATTCCAGAAGTGACAATGATACAGAGGTTGATGCTGCCATCGTTCGTATTATGTGAATTCTCCAGGTTATCCAGCTGTGCCATGCTTGCTGTCTTTCTCTGAAGAGTCTGTGTCCAGGTGCTCAGGCATCATCATCTTCAAATTTGTTACCTGTTTTGTTGCAGAGATTTTCAGTAGTGGAAGATTTAACTGGACCATACAACTGGACACATCCTTGACCATTAGCTAACACTACATGGTTTTTCAATATCATGGCAACACTTTACTACTTGTAACTCTCTTCACAAGGGCTAAAATGGGTATTAAATTGTGTGGTTCCTTCAGGAGGGAAACATCTTAAACTGGGCATAGAGGGATCAATGACAGAATGCCTACAGAACTCTGCAGGCTTTGGAAGGCTCCAGCTTTTCTTTTTTTGTAACTTCTTCTGAAATGGATGCTAACTTAATGCTACTTGCCACTATACAAAACTGATTTTTGAAAATGCAGTGTGTGGGTTGAGGTGAAAGGCATGGAGCACATTTGAGACTGAGGAGAAGAACTGATGATAGGAGAACACTGCACATCTCCACAAAGTCAAGGATAGTCCCAGAAACTACATTCGTCTAAAAATGGATGTAATTAAGTTGTTCTGGTAGGAACCTGGGAGATGATGATGGGGCTAAGTAGGATCTCCTGTGTGTTTAAATGATGAATGATCCAGTGCAACTCACACAGGTGCCTAAAGATGTCCCAAGATTCATGACAAGTGACTAACCTCTTGGAATAGGAAAGAGGAAGCATTTTTTGGAGTATGACTTTCCATAAGGGAGCATCTGCAGGTTTCCTTGATTTGTTCTAAGTTGATGTTAAGTTAGGTCAATTCTTGCTTGTCTTAAAAGAAACAAGAAATTTGAATTTGCTTTTATAGCAAGGTTACAAAAAAAGTTATTTCCACTTAGCAATGCTTTTACTGTTAAGAAGACACTACATGCAAATTGCAATTGTCATTTAACTAGCTGTAGAGAGTGTGGGCTTTGGAATGGGTGTATACGGTTTTAAGTGGTTGAAGCCAAGGATTTAGTGGGAAATGGGTTGCATGACTTGCTTTGCACAGTACTGCAGTATTAGTGCTATATATCAGAGATTATATCAATTACCTATCTAGTAATGACACTCTTGTAATGTGCTCTGCTAGGCAATTTGTAGAGCAGACGTGGTTGTTTCTGCGATGTAATGAAGCCAACAAATGCAGATATATGTGTTGCCTGTAACCATAACACATCCATTCATATGGGTACAAAGTGACCATAGTACTGTCATGCTAACCTGATCTCATCTTCTGCCCATCCATGTATTTTCAGGGAATTTTAATGTCCTGAAACAACACTTATACAGTGTTATGTACTTTTCAAATTATATCGTAATTTTAAATTAATGTATGTGCTGACTTTCCTGGGAACATGACCATTCTCTGGCACTTGCCAAAGCTCCTTCGGTCACACTGTGATGGAGGTGCTTACAGCTAAAAGCCACCTCATTTCATTGGGACTGCATGGAGCATTACGACAACATCGACATCCATCAACGTGGCACAGAAATGTGCAAAATAGCATCTTCTGCCTGTTTCAGAAGTGATTTTTCTTCCTTAGTGACATATATTTCCTCTCTTCCTCCCAGGGTGACCAAGATGACAGATCTTTCAAGCAGTACAGGACATCAAGTCCTAGCTCTGCTGGCTCACTGGGCTATGGTCGCTACACTCCAACTTCCCATTCTCCTCAGCATTACAGCAGACCAGGTAACTGAAAAGCAGCCTTACTTTTTCTCTAGATTTCCCCACTAGTTTGTCTTATGCCCTAAGTAAGATAGACTCTGGTAGACAGGGTTTTAAAGCGGAGTAGTTCATTGAAGTGATTTATTTCTGGGAACAGAGTGTCCCATGGGGAGAAAGGAAAAAAATACTTCAGGAATGAGCATCTAAGAAAATGAAGTCATCTAGAAATACTGATTTTTTGTATCTCTAAACAGAAGACAGAACAGTTTAAAGGCCTCTTGTAAGGCAAGTTTATGGTCTGTGTCTCTTCTCTGCAGTGCAAGAGCTGGAGAAGCGAGTAGTGGTTCTGATGGCTGGATTTTGAAAGCCAAGTTGCTTTAGTTGAGAAGCTTATAACGTTATTTATTGCAGCTTCATACTGTAGTGGCAGCTGTGGTGGTGGTCTTGTACAGAGAGGAGTGATCACCCTGTTTTGATCTTTACATGGGAGATACATACAAAGGCTCTTTTGTATTTGGGCATTGTGCAGAGTTTTATCCTTAGAAATAATCAACTAAATTGTTCAAAATTCATTGTAGTTTTTCTTCAGTCCACCAGTTGGGTGGAAAATAGAGCATTTGTATTAATTTCTTGGTGTCTTTTAATTTAATTTGGGATACTTTGTAATTATAAACTAGTTTGTAAAGTTGCGAGTGCTTCATCTTCCCAGTGGGAATGAAAATTTTATGGGTAACACAAACCATTTTTACAGGATTTGAATATTTGCACTACATAAAGTCTTTGATGAAGTGGAAATGAGATTGACTATCAAAGATCCACTAGAGAAAAGATTAATCCCCACTGAAGGTTTGGCAGCTGTGTCATGCTTAAGCTTAGCTGCACACTGTTAAAGCAAGGAGGAAAGACGAAATTCCAAATGAATTCCAATGTTGTACAGCTTCATTGAAAATTTGGAAGATAGTAATCTTAATTGCCACTTTTAATAATTGCCATTAGTCCTTCAAAATGTGTCATTGGGACATGATTACAACAAAGCAAACCAAGATGACTTCTGAGAACGTTTTTCAGACTAATTAATCAAATGTATAACTTTCAGAGCTCAAATAACTTCTGGATGTTTCTTCAAATGCCTCAGTCAGCCACGCACCGAGTGTCCTGGTGCATTGTGAACTTAATCTTACCAGTGTGCGCTGATGGTAGTGAGAACTGGACCCACTCATAGCACAGTTCTCAGCAGAGAAAAAGCTCTCCCCATTTCATTTCATTAGATCCATTATGAGCATATATCATTCCCTATTGCAGCTTTTGAATATGCAGATTTTCCCCTGAGTGCAGCTATGCTTTTTGTGGTGCCTTTTCTGGAATACTTTCTGATGTGTTACACTGTCAGTTTTTTGTATGACACACTTTCTGTCCCTTAGCCAACCCCATAGTATGGCCACTATTGCTGTTTTTAGCAATAACCAAAGAAAGATGAAATGTTAAATATAAACAATATGTTTTCTAAGCATCAGGAGGAAAATGTTCCAGAAAAAAAAAAGTATGGCATTGTAATTTGTGGCTTTCAGTAAGTGAACTAAATAGTTTATTTTCACTTACTCTCTGTTGCCCCCAGCTGGTACTCAGAGTCTTGGTACCAGTAGCTGCATCTCCCTGCCCCAACACCCAAGCCCTACATCTACATTCAGACATCATTACATCCCTTTCTTCAAAGGTAAGGTCCAGGAATGCAAAACCGTGCTGTGATACTGTAGACTTACTCAGATGTGTTTCACTTTTATGTCTGTGCAAGCATGGCTTCCACTTGGATAAAATTTGTCTTAATTTTGTGCAAGTGCTTTCTTGATGTAATGTGTAAGTTTTAAGAACGGAGTGGGTATGGGTTATATTTTGCTTTTTATCAGTGAGTATTAAGTGTTTTTCAATAGGGAGGAGGGAAGACATTGCATTTTATAATGAAAATGAGGGAGGGAAATAATTTAACAGTCTGTTTGTTCTTAAACACATCTACCCTATTTTTGTGATGCCAAATAGATATAGTAACAAGTTTAAAAATTGGATCCAACACTAGAAGATCAGTATTCTAACCTTCTAACCTTAATTTAGAGATTCTTCATACTATTTGTAGCATTACCAAAAAATATGCCAGATAAATTGGCTAAATCAGTATACCTGCACTGATTAGCAAACACTGTCATGAAACAGAGTAACTGAGTCTAGTCTTCTTGCCATTAATCTTTTTAAAGTAGATATTAACTTAAAATTGCCTCCATGTTGCAGATATGAGTCAGTGATGATAAATATAAAAAACTTTTGAGGCAAAGGCTTTTTGGTTTTTTAACTAGTTACTTAAATGTCAGAAAGATAAGACATTCAGCTACCACATGCATCTTCCCCTGACTGTCCTCCCTAGTACCAGTAGGGAGGAGATATGAATGATGAATGCCAAACATTTTCAGTGCCTGTTCTTTGACTCTCATATACTGCTTGATTCAATAAAGCAAAACTGTTTCTCTTGCCTTCATAACCATTACAGAAAAGGAAGTCACCCTCTGCAGGAACCAGACTTGCAAACTCAAATAAATAGCAGGCACTCATCACCTTTGGAATAAACACTCATGCATCTTCATTGGGCGCTAATGCATCCAAAAACAGTTCTGTCCAAAGTGGTGTAAGCAGGAACAGAACCAGACTGGAGTCTCCCAAATATGATGCCCAAAAGAAAATTTTGGAAGAAAAAGCTGATGAGATTAAACTGAAGGTAGCCATTTTAAAGTCTGCCTGCAAAACTCCTTCCCACACCCACAAACACTCAGTCACCCACACTTTTTTTTTTTTTAAAGGCTGGCAGGCACCCTGGTATTTCCTGAGGCACTGTGAGAATAAGTTTTTGATCTGTCCTCTAAATTTGTATTATATCATCCAACTTGATGTACCGAGGAAGAGAAACCTCTTTAGTGTGCAGCAGTGCACGACTTCACTGTACAAAGAGCTCCTAGTCGAACGCCTGTCTGCAGTTGCTTAGCATCACCCCTGTTAAAATGAGTTTCTGTTCAGTGCTACCTGCTGTTCCTCAGAGCAGCAGCAATTACTTTGTGCTGCTATTTGGAGGAAGAAATCCTCAAGTGGCAGCTCCTTGTGCCCAAGCAATTATTAGGAGTGTGATCAAAATTATAATATTTTGCAATTCTGCAGCACTTGTTTTGTCAAGAAGCTAAAATATTTTGCAGGTGGTACCTTACACTGTTTCACAGCACTCCTGTGAGGCAGGCAAGCCTATTTATGATGTTCCTGTATAGGTAATCCTGAGCCCTGCAGAGGTTATGTAAATGAGCCACTATTTTATCCTGAGTTCATTTCTCAGTCAAAAAGGAGTCAGAAGATTTGTCCCCATCTGTTTCAAGTTTTATGAATTCTTTACTGTATTTTTTTCCTTGTCTTGAGAAGTCTTTTGAGGGTGTCAGTGTGCAGGTTTTTTCCTGTTCAGAGTGGTTAGTGTGGGAAGAGTAGGAATAGTTAACCAAGGTTAATGTTGCCACTTCATTTTTTAAAAAGTGAAATCAAGCTAATTTACATATTTTTATTAAATCCAGTAATACACTTGAATATAATACTAGAAGTAATATTTATAAAACCAATGCTCCACAATTATCATCGAAGATATTTCTTTAAGCTTCCAGGACCCAGGAATGTTACTACCCTAGGGAAATTAAAACAGGCAGAATCCTCCTTTTAACTTCACTGAGTTTGCATCATATTCATCCTGAGAATTACACGGTTCATCGTTTTCCAGAAAAGAATATGATCAGTGAGTTCCTGTTCTTTCTTCAGAATGCTGTAGTCAAGCTCCCATGAAATGCAATTGAATGAGCTGCAGTCACATGTACCTACACTTGGTGTAGCTTTTCCTCTTGAGGTGATGGAGTCAGTGAACATATAGGCTGTGCTGAGTCCTACTAAAAAGTGCTTATTTAAAATGTAGTGGAAAGTATCTTGCCTTCCTGGTACAAGAGCAAAGCTTCCAAAGCCCATTTATTTGGCTTTGAAAGCTTGAAAAGGCTTAGTCATCAGACTTCAAAAAACTGTCTAGCTAATGCACCATGTGCAGAGATATTAAAGGATCCAGTTATGGGAGTAGGCTCTGACATCTCCTTCATTAGGGCAGTGGTATCTATTTGTTGTTCAATCCTGAACTTAAACAACTCTTACTGTAACTTGTTAAATTCCCCATCCTCCCAAATAAGATAAAAGTTGACTAGGAAGGAGGTATAAACAATATTATACTTTTCCAGACAATCCCTTGAAAAGGGAGCATGGTCTGAGCTCTGGTCAGTTGGCTCCACACACACAAGGTTAAAAGAGCTCTCTACCCTGTCAGCAGCCAAAAGACACAAGCAAGTTTCTGTGGTTGACACTCAAGTTCAAAGTAAACTTTTTCAGATTCTTTCCAAGTTAAACAAAATCCAGGGAAGGGTTCATGATTCTTGTTGTTTGTTTTTTTTTCTCTGCACTGACCAGTAAAGCAGATCACAGCCTGCAGCTGCCTGTGGCAGAAGGCAAACCTAAGAGTTTGAAAAATCTGTCTCTGGTAGTTTTATTTTCTCTGGGACCTCATTTGAAGTTCTTCTTCAGTGTATACCAGGCAAACCTTCAAAGAGACAAATTCTTGGTAACGTTTCATTTTAGAGATTTTAATTATAGCCTTGATTAAATGACTGTCTGGTGTTCCTACTCACGAACTTTCTACATGGGCCTTCAGTTTGCTTTATTATTACTTATTTTCATATACAAAATATGAAATACAGCTGCTTTTTCATGTTTGTCCAAATTGGTGGCAGAGTTAGAAATATTACTGAATGTGTGTCAGCTTGTATGAGTGGGCTGCAAGAAGAACCTTTTGCCTCTTTTCATCCTTTATTCTTCCCTTTTGAGCAAGTTAGAGCTGATGGCTTTGGAAACTGCTCCACCCAGGTGATCCTTGCATTGAGTAGTTAATTGTTTTGCTGTCCCCTCGTGCTTGTGCTTGCATCCTGTTTCCTTACAAGTTTATTTCTCTTAATCAAGATTCCACTTGATTTTCTGCTGACACCCAACCCTACCCCTGAGGAATGACTCTGTGTGCACAATGACAGCACCTTGGGGTCACTGCTCAATGAATTATCCATGCAAGTCATATATGAATGTTGATTCCAATAATATGCTAATTTTAATTAAATGCTGAATTAATACACTGTGAATATCACTTGAAAACTTTCTTCTTCTTTTTAAATTAAAAACAATCCAATAGTAATATCACTTTGGAATGAAGATTTTTTTAGGTCATTGAAGTTGTAAAGGACCTTACTTAAGTAAGAGTCTACCACTGCTCTTTGCATTCAAAGTTGGAGTGACATCGAGGCTTCTTCCATTTAGCAGGAATAGCCAAGCACTTGAGCAGCAAGCAGCAGAGAAAGAGGGAAATAATAAATGTGCAGTGAAAACTTGTCACCACTTCTTTCCTTCTAAGAGCAGAGCAGGAATCAAGAAACTGAATAAATACCTGGTTCCTTGTCTGAGGACAACTTGATTGCAAGCTGGTGGTGAAGCACCAGATTTTTCATAACACTCTAATTCTTCTCTTACTTTTTGGAAGGACCATAGCATGTGCAGTTTAATTTCACTTTCTCAGTTGCTCTGATTACATTTTCTTTAATGAGAAATCACTGTTGCTGAGTATGCAGTGGTAATGGCTGAATAGTTTTCGAGTTTCAGTGTTTTTCACCAACTGTGGAAATAACAGACACAAACAATATAGAACTAATTAGTTTATCTTCATGAGATACACAGCAAGCTCTTCTGACCTGGGCTGGCCTGCTTCTGCTCTCATGGAGCTCAGTGGCAGAACCCAGCTGGCTTCAGTGTTGCGCATCAAGGCTAGATTTGGTGTCAAACTGATGACCATGCATCCACTGCTTGTCAACAGAGTCAAGGGGTCTGCAGAGAACACTTCCATGGGCATGGCCTCAACAGTTATGGTAATCCCATAGTGTTATGGTTATAAAACTTCCCTTTCCTGAAGGCAGAAAGGCAGAACTCAGTTACGGATCTAGTGCTCTGAGCTGCTGCACTTTCTTTACTCTAAAAAAAACTTGCTGTAATTTCCTCGTTGCTAGCTATTCAGTTTGTGCTCCATCCACACTAAAACAATAACAGAGAATTAACAACCATTTTATGTTAGAATAAATGTCATGTTTGGCTTCCAGTTGCTTAACAATGCTGTAAATTAATTGGATTTTACAAGTCCCAAAAAAGTAGAGCTTTACTTTTTTGTTTGCCAAGCAGCACTATAATGCCATAGAGTGTGCTTTGGGGAAATCAGTCTAGAGGAAACGGATGGCACCTAATGAGCATTTGACAGAACAAATGGAAAAATGAATAGAGATTAATCCTTTGTATATATCTTTTAGATTCTGTGACATGACTATGGCATTATAGATCCATGACTTGATAATCCAACCTTGTTTGCATAGATATAAAATGCTGTGGCATGTTACCTGTGGGAAAAGTTGGCAATTAAGAACCAAATTTTAGCATCTGTTTTTGTCACTGATATATGCAGGAATATTTGATTTAACTGTAACATCTGTTTGTTGGTCTAGTCCTGCTTTTTTAAACACTACTGAATTGTTTCACTGGTTTCAGGGGCAGGCCATGAGCCATAGCATTAATTTTTTTCAAAAACTTGATTGATAGATTGTTCAGTTTAGGCTATGCAAAACACATTACAAGATTGTGGATGTCCTTAGCCTTTTAATTTCTTCATTAAAGTACTGCTAAAAGAGAAGATGTCTTTTCCAAGTGGGGCAGTTTAATATTATCTGTCAGATGTTCTTTATTGATGAGCTGTTTGGAGACTGAGCCAGTAGACTGTACTGAAAAATAATGGGGTTTACAGAAACTATATATTTAAAACTGTTGGATTAACAAGTCATCTAAACAAGCTTTTATGCTTGAAATACTCTACTTTGCTTTCCATTTTTTTCTTTTATCTGCTTTCTTTGCTCTTCCCCTTGGAGGCAGTGAAAGTGGTCGAAGCACTCCAAGCTTATCCATGTACTCAGACAGCAAATCTTCACCTTCTGTCTATCAGCAGGCTCCTAGGCATTTCCATATTCCAGGTAGGCACTTGCTGCTTAGCTTTTGATCTTCAATTTCTGACACCTGTTTATTCTCTTCTTAATGTAAGTCTTTTTTTTGCATTGATTTGTGAACTTTTAACTGCAGGAGAAGAAAATATCTGATAAGTGAGAATCTGTTAACTGCTAAACCTAGTCTCAGAAATAAAGGACTTGAGACCTCTGTGCTCATATGTATCTATGCTTAAATGCATTAGGGGAGGCAGGCAGTGGCAAGTGTTGTTAAGCCTACAAAGATACAATTATTTATAGTGCCATGGGTGCAAAGTTCTGTTGTGTTTGTGTGCAGGAGGGTAGGCTGAAGGGGTTTTTGGTTTGTTTTTTCCTTATAATCTGCTCTCTGAATTAGAGAGTGATATTAACATACACTTTAAAAATTACTGGAAGGCTTTAGACCTCCAGGAAGCTCACTGTGGCTGTGTCTTCGTGTACGTACTATACTGGTTTCCAGTTCACATTCAGTTTACAAACATGATTTATGTCCTTTTAGCTGTTTCCCTGCTAAGCACACCTACTTACTGTGTGGGATAGTTTGTTTATTTGTGTTTAGCTTCTGGGGTCAATGTTTCTCTAAACACACTGTAATTAGGATTATATCTACTCAGGTCAGAGTGAATCTGATGTCTATACCACATGATATGGGAACCCTGGACTGTGGCTCTCAGGGCTTAAAAAAAATCCTGGCAGGGCAGATTGACTATACAATTCAAAATGCAGACAAACTAGAGAATTTCCTGTAAGAATATTGGGCATTTCTGGTATAAACATATATGAACATGTACACTTTCTTCATAATAATGGAGAAAGTCACTTTTCAAGTGTATTAGTTTGTTGTACCCATATACTAATTTTATTTTAAGTAGTGACAAGTGTAGCCAGTTTCTCTTAGTTGTCTATGAAGTATACATTGGGAGTGCAGATATAGCCACGTACATATCAGTAAACCATTGCCATTCAAAGTGTCTTAAAGCATATTGAGGGACTTGGGTGGAGATTATGCTGCATAGATAGATATAGCCAGTGTTTTACATATATAAAGATGATGGGTAAAGCTTCATTCTCTTGTTATACCCAGTGAATGATAAAAAACTGAATGAATTCATAGCCTTTGTTCAAGTGTTTGCATTTTAGTGATGTTGAGAGGAGACAAGAGCATCATGGTCTGAACTGCTTGCTTACTCTTTTATTCTTTCCTTTCTCTTTCCTCTTCCTCAGACACGGGCGTAAAAGATAACATCTATAGGAAACCTCCTATCTACAAACAGCATGGTACAGTCTGCTTTTCTCTGTTGCAGTTTTCTCTACATGGCTGTGTAAAGAAGTGTATATTGATTTCCAGATTATTATGCTGTAGTCTTTGCAATTCATTATATTCCTCTAACCTCAAGTAGAAAAGGAAAAAAAATAATGAGATGATGAAGTAGCATTTTATAGAACATTCTGTCTAAGGATTCTGTAAGTTCTCTAAAACTGCAATAATGGTATTTTAATTTGTCTTAGTAATTCAGAGTTGATACTAACTTCAAAGCAGTTCTCATATTTATGGAATGATACAAAAGATATAAAAGTAGAAGGTTGCTCTCCTGTTTTCAAACCATGCCTTGAGCTATCTCATTCTTGTAAATAATTCTTACTTCTTTAAAAAATAAGGAGCAAATGTAATCACACCATGGCAGTTAGGATCAAAATCAGTAGCTGGTAACATCAGCAAGATATGACTGGAAAACCTTTGGTTGACCTAGCAACAAGACTGCTGTCTGAGTTTCTAAACAGAAAAAAATGTGTGGTTTTATGCAACTGAGACTCAGTCTTTACACTTTAGTAAATAGAAAAAATAGAAATATGAAATCTGTTTATTTATTTTTCCTGTATATTTAACTAATTATCAAATGCAATTTCCATGTTGATTTCAATGCCTTTGTGTTCTCAGTGATGTTTGACAGTGATCTTCATTCATGATACAGGCTTAGAAATACTGAATTAATTTTTCTTAACTGAATTCCATTATTAATTTTTAGAAAGAAGTATGTATGGATTCTGCTGCATTAGGGTGCTTTGAAAGTGCAAAAGTACATTTCTGATTAAAAGCCATGACTGGAGTACTCCTGTGGTCAGAAGCAAAGAACAAAAATAAAAATCAAATGCATAATATAAATCTGCCCCAAACCAAAAATTGTATTTTCATCATGGTTGCTTCCCTTCTTGTGAGTGAATGAGAGACAGAAAGTAAATATGAGAGGTGTTCATCACACTGTGAGCAGTAGCTAAGGCAGAAAGCATGTATGTTTGGGGGTACAGAAGGGAGAACACAGCTGTGCCACTGCTCATGGCAGTGGAAGGTCCAGGCTGTGTCTGTGAGCAGTGTCTCCATTGGAGCAACTCTTCTCATCCTGTTCTCTCCTGCAACAATGCGCACACAGTGGTGACTTCCCATGTTGTATGTACGAGTGAGAAAGCTCCATATGTCTGTCCTCCCTTACTTTAGTTTTAGCTGACAGTTGATAAGTTTCCATGAGTCAAAGGTTAGGGAATAGCAGATATGACACTGGCTTCATGGTCAGAACAAGGGAAATACATTTTCTGTTGTTTTCATGTTTTTCTGTTGTGGTAAAAGAGGGCTTTAAGTAATTTTAAAATACTCAATTCATGTTTAGTCAAAAAAATAATGCCTTTATATAGTTATTGGTGTTACACTGTCTTTCATGGGAAGCAACATTTCTTTCTGTGTTGGTTGAAGTTCTAGTTTGGTTCTGACACAGTAAAAGGAGAAAGAAAATTGTTGACTGATGTCTCCCAGCTGTGTGTCAGCCTGTGCACATTCACTGTAACTAGTGCTTTGTACTGAAGTAACTGCACATTCAAAGCATCCAGATTTGCATAACCTCTGTGGTTTTGCTGGGTATGGTTTTGAGCAAAGCCAGACTTGCTGATGTTTCAGTGCACATTAGGTATTGGTCTTTGATAGGTGTTTTCTGCTCAGTATGTCCTAAGCTTGGACAAACTAATGTTACCTCGAAGGCAAAAAGATAGTATCTGTTTGGTTTAGTGCTTGATTTAATGTTATCTGCCAACCTCATAGTCTGTCCAAGCTCTCTAATTCCTGTACAAATAATTCAAGGCAACTACTCAAGCTGAGCAAAAAAAGCTTCTAATGAAGGAGGAAGTTGAATATTCCTGTGGTGGTTGAGAAGATCATGAACAAATGCAAAGTTACAGTCATAGAATCATAGAATGGTTGACGTTGGAAGGGATTTTAAAGATCATCAGGTTCCAACCTCCCTGCTATGAGCAGGGACACCTCACGCTAGACCAGGTTGCACAAAGCCTCATCCAACCTGGCCTTATTCCACAGCCTCCCCTAGGCTATTCCAGCACCTGACTGCCCTCATGGTGAAGGATTTCTTCCTATGTCTAACCTAATTCTACCCTCTTTCAGTTTAAAATCATTTCCCCTTGACCTATCACTGCTCTCTGGTGAAAACCCCCTCCCCAGCTTTCCCGTAGCCCCTTCAGGCACTGGAAGGCCACTACAAGGTCTCCCCAGAGCCTTCTCTTCTCCAGGCTGACTTCATAGCAAAGGTGCTCCAGCCCTTTGATTATCTTCGTGGCCCTTCTCTGGATGCTCTGCAACAGCTCCATGTCTTCCCTTGCTGCTGGCTCCAGAGCTGTACATCTGGTGCAAATGAGCATAGCTTCACTGATTAATACAAGCTGATGATTTGTCTCCGGTGTCCCATATAATGGCTGTGTCACTTGATTTTATAGATACTTCTGGTTTGCAGGGTGGATTCTAAGCAGCAGCTTTTTTGTTACAGACAAGGAATTTTTAATACTAATTTTCTGCCTATCAATGTGGTCAAAGTCTGGATTATGTAAATTTTGCACTATTCTGTGGAGCTGTTCCTTGTATTCACTGGAATGAGTGGAGAGTTAAAATATCAAGTCAGCAATCTCTATAGGTTAACAAGGATATAAGTTGTAAACTTTCTTTTATAGATTATAAATGTTCTGAAAGTTTTGTTGAAAACACATGCCTGTTTTTCTACTGAAGGGTAAAACATAATTTAACTCAAAAACAACAACAAAAAATTCAATTAACTTTCCTTCTTAAATAAAAGAAATAATGTATTATAGATTTAACATGAACACATGAGCAACTGATGAATGAGCTCTTCAAGCTAGTGGGACACTGAACTGTTATGTTGCTGAAAAGGAGCCAGACAACATTCCTTTGTTGAAGAGACTAAGTTGAACAAACAAGCACAAAAATGTTCTTTAAAACAAGAAGTACAAGAAGCTCTTCCAAAACAATTAGCTTTAAAAGGCTTCAGTTTCAGCAGTGCCCAACAGATTTGCTGTAGCTACAGCTTCTGTGTTTCTCTTATAAACACCCAACTTCAGAATGAAAAAAAAAAGGTGGTAGAAGCATGGGATTTGTGAGAAATCAGGCTGAGAGCTGAGGACAGAAGGTGAAGTGTGCAGGAGCCTGCGTGGCCATTCTTTTCTGTGTGTTCATGTTTAAAAACTATTTGAACACAGTTCAAAGTTTAAAAACAAAATGAAGAGGTTTGCTCTTCAGCTCTGATCCGTGTGAAACATGCAGTTCATTGGGGTGCACAGCAGAACTGAGTATCCCTCATGGAAGCAGTTTGAATTCAAGTGCTCTCGAGATCCCTGGAACATTTGAAATCTCTGAATAATGCTTTGGATTAAAGTTTTTGTTTTGTTTTGTTTTTTGGTTTTTTTTTTTTTCTTTTGAAAACATCAATGCCTTGAAACAAAAGCATTTTCCAAAAAGGCATCAGATGCTCTAAATCACATGATTTAGTGAGAGCAAGATCCATACACATAACCTGGAACAACATCTTGAGTGGTGATTCAGGGTAGGGTCCCAAAATACCAGTGAACCAGGTTTGGTCCTTGTTGAAATGCAGGAACTTTATTCTTCATCTGTCATATAAGAATGTTTCTTTATATTTCTTTCTCAGAGAAGCATCTTGTCATTTCAGGAAAATTTCACAGCAAACTGTGAAAACTTTGGGTTTTTTCATAATACTGTTCTTATTTTATGGCACAGCTTTGTTTTGCCACAATAAATTGAGGAAAGAAAAACATCAACAGCTAGAGATTTTCACCTTTAACCCAAAGATTTTTTTCCTTACTGCAGTTTGTCATTTTTTAAGTATCACCTCCTCAATATAACCAGTTATGGTCTGGATGTGAGCTGTGTAACAGCAGCAGAAAATAGGACAGAATAGCTCTGACATGCTAATGGTGATGGCCTTTCACCTGTGCAGGGCAGACCCTCTGCAAACATGCTGGCTGGGGACACAGAGGGCAGAGTTGTTCCCAGCTAGCTGGGAGTGTTGCAGCACTTCTAATTGAGCAACTTGATCTCCTCCTCACCTCTGTCCCACAGGGACTCATCTGATCCTTAACTTTTGTGTTGTCGTACTAATTCTATTATTAATAAATATGGTTTCTGGCTCCATTGCATTGCATGGGGCTCTTGTTGCCCTTGTACTTGCGCATTGCAGACAACTCCCATGTAAGGATGACTTCTCATGGACCTAAAATTATGCTGGATCATTGCTTTACTCAAATTTTGTACCACTAAACTGTCTCCACAACAACATAGGGTGATACAAAAGCAGGTAAGACTCAAATTGTCAGAAGTTACCTGAAGTGGTGTGAAATTTGGCAGAAAATCTGTAAGATTCTGAGATGTAACTCTGTCTGAAACAATACTGTGGGACATAAAAGATGAGGAAAAATGCATCTAATAATGGGGAACTATCTCATTAGTAGGTTTTAGGGTTTTAGTTTTGAGTTTTTCTTCTGAGCAAGTTAGAAAGTTAAAACAATAAACCAACAGTAAAATATCAGCAATATTTTTTAATACAATACTGTTTAAGATGGCAGCATTGTCAGTATTGTCAGAACAGGGATTGGTCACGGAATTGTAAATTGAAATATGAGTCTGACACAGCCTCTCTTGCAGATTCCATGAAAAGGTAATACCAATTTGTTTCCTATCTTCTTTACCATCATTGCTATCCTCTTTTGGGAATGTAGGAGGCTCAGGTGGGCAGACCACAACATACCTCATGTCCTGGTTTGAGCCAGGATAGAACCAATTTTCTTTCTAGAAACTTTATTTTTCATTTAAGTCTCTTCTAAGTATCTGCACTTGCCTTCATGGTCATGGTAACAGAATAATGGGAAAATTACTTGCTTCTGCATGCAGTGACCAAATTAATCTGTCCTTAGGTTATAGGGTTTCTTCCCATCAATCATTACCCAAAAGTAGTTTCTACCTAAAAAGATAGGTTTGAAATCCATCAGGAACAGATTATCTAAATTCAGTATATGCCTAAAAGATGAGTATTACTATAATAATTTCAAAATTATTTGAACTAATTCTGTGAAACCATAGCTCTACATATCAAATTTTCTGTACAGCTCTGGTTTGGTTTTTTAATGGTTATTATTTACCCTCTTAAAAATATTTGGAACATTACAACAATCAAAACAGGAGACAAAATGATGGAATCTGTTCTAATTTTAAAAATTAACTTAATCTTTCAGCAGCAAGAAGATCAGAAGGGGAGGATGGAAGTTTGGATCAGGACAACAAGAAGGTAATGATCAGAAAGAACAAAAGGGAGTAGTTTATTGATATTTGTTGAAGGATTTATTTTTTTTTTAATTGTTCATATACGAAGTATTCTTTCATATAATTGAAATAATCATTGCCACTTTTAGGTCTTTCCAAGAAGATATAGAAAAGCTTGATCTCTGACCCAGAGCATTTAGAATCTACATTCTACAGTAAAGAAAGAAAGAAAGAGATATTGAGATTAAGAGCAATAAGTTCATGGATTTTCACTCGGTCTCAATATATGCATTGTTGATTCAGCTAAGTCTGCAGACTTTTACTTCAGGTGTATATTAGCATACAAGAAAAATGTGTTGTATTGTTAATTATAAGAAAATTACATAGTACATCTTCTAAAGTGGGGCACGGTGGACAGCTTAATGAATAGAGAAACTGTCCTCAGCCAAGATGAAAGTTGAAAGTTTTCAGTACCTGTGGCATCTAACAGGGAGTCTCATGATACAGCCAACTTTTATCATTTGATAAATGGAATGAGCATGAATACACCATCAGAACTGCATTCAGATGTTAAATCCTGAATCCTGTAATGGGCTTTTACTGTTTCCAGCTAAAGACCAGTTGGCTTATTCTGAAAGGGGATATGGACACCAGAACTAATTCCCCAGATTCAGACACCCGGTCCCTGTCTCTTACTGCCAGAAGTGACAGAGAAAACTTCCCCAGGGCGCAGGAGGGCACAACTGCTGGCTACTCCCGTGAGTACTGCTGCCTGCTGGCAATAGATGGTGTGGTGGTATCAGGCAGATGGTTGACTTGTACTAATTATTCCTTGATACCACTCTGTATTTTGATTATTAGTACATTTCTTCTGTATCGTGATAAAGCATTTTACACTTTACTCCATAGCTTAATTTAGAGTAGGCGTTTTTAAATTATTTCTCAAAGTTATACCAATAAATTCACAGAAACCTTTCATATATTTAAGCCATTGAGTAACCAGGTGGAATGATGGGATATTGTTGTTGCAAAACACTGGTCTGAAGAGCATATGTCCGTTTTTTGTCAGTACCAAGGCATGCTCCACATGTTTCTTACTCTGCTTTTCATCAAGTCAAGAGGTGAAGGAAATTATCATCAGAATTGAGTCTGAATTTTACTTTTAGGTAACATAAATGACAAAAAAATTGGTTAAATTAATTTTAACAGATAACTGGGCCATTCCTCTGCATGCCTTCTCCATTTACACCATACAGCCATAGCAGGTCATACGGGGTAAACAAGTTGGGAAAGCAATTTTCCAAAAGAATGTATCCAGTGTGAGACATGTCTGGCACCAGGGCTAGGATGTCAGTCTTGTGGGCATTTTGGTAATGTGATAGCTGGCTCCATCAACTTATATTAAGGAAATTATGGCTTAGCTATGCAAGAGGGAAAACAGATGCTGCAAAGTCTGTCACAAGACCGTAACAAGATAAAGGACTATCAATCTCACTGGTCTAACCTGAAGGGATTTGATTCCTTAGTCCTCACCAGACATTACATACGCATGCACAAGGTGGATTGTATGATTCCCTGTGCAGGGGAAACCAAGTCTGGCCACCTCACACACCTAACATCTATAATTCATTGCCCAGAAACGAACAGCTAAACTTTTCATTGTAAGGCACACGTCGGGTACGTTTGGAAGCTTTTTTGGAGTTGATCTCATACTTTTCTACATATATATTGAGAGCCTAATCCTTTCATGCAAATTTTAAATAGGAAGACGTATGTGGCACTCCAAGAACTCTTATACAGGAACAAGATACAGTGTCATTTTTTTTTTCTTGAGAGTATTGGTGTACCTGTCACTTCTATGTCAGCATTTATCTTATGGGGTTTTTTTGTCATCTTGGGAATGTGGAGCTATCAAAACTAGAAATATAAAAGATGATTCAGACCTCTGTCAGAGTCAATGTCACCTCTGTGTTAATGCAATATAGGTTGTGTAGTTCGTTTTCCATTGCTTTTTGTCAGTGTTTTTCTGTTCCTCATGATAGTTGGCCCTGTTACCCAATTAGCAGCTACACAGAAATGACAATGAGGAAGTTTTGTCTTCCAGACATTCACAATTGTTTTTTTTTCCTTTCTTTCTGATTTTATTCAGCCATCTGACTTGTTTCATTCACTATAGACGTCCTAAGTAATTCCTGTTCTACTCATTTTCCCTATTTGAGAGTAGTCAGATCTATAAATCAGACATTCAGGCCCATCTCTGTGGTGTAGTCTGTGAGTATCAGAGAAAATAAACTTTGGGGTGTAGGTTTGGTGCCAAAGTGATTACATAGAGAGTGGAGGGGTCAGCAGGCATCAGACTGCATTTCTCTGGTGATATGTCTATGGTGATATGTCTGTGTTCATCTGTCCAACCTTGGTGCAGACCACATAAGGTTTTTTCTGCTCTAGAAGACATTTAGCCACATTACATTAGCTGTATGCCCAGACCACTACATCTAACAGCAAAAGACATCAGTATGGGGCTTGTGTTATTAGCAGGCATCTAAGCTGGAGCTTGCATCTCCTTACATCCACTTGTGTAAATGTGAATTATTTAATGTATGTGTACATGTTTAATAGCAAATAATTTACCATGATTCCTGATGTGAACTGTCACATATTTAGGAAAGCAGATGTCTGGCAAGGTGTGTAACCCTTGCGCTTCACATGCCCCTTAGGTGCTGAGAGGCAACCTCAGGATATCCAGGTTAGAGTGAATGTCATACTGGAAAAAGCAGGAGCCAGATCCATGCAGAGAGGAGCTGTTCTTCCGATAGCCCCTAATTAGAGAGAAAGATTGCTTATCTTGGCCAGTTAGTCCAGAAAATTTGCTGTACTGACATCACTGCAGTTGGATGTGAGACCGAGCAGCGTGTGGTTGTTGGTTTTGGTGTTACATTTTTCTCTTTATATTTAAAAAAAAAAAAAAAAAAAAATCAAGCAGAAAAATGAAACGTCTTTAATTTTGCAACTAAGTTCATGGGAAACAGAAGCTAAGTGAAATACAGTTCCCGGTGGAGTCAATGGTTCTTCTCTTGCCAGCTTGTTTGGGGCTGTGCCGGCTGGATCCTCCTGTTGGGTTTTTCCAGGCGGCCACACGATGTCGCCGGTGCCCGCCTTGCGGCTCCGTCCTGCCAGAGCGGCGGGGGGCAGCTCCTCCGCTCCCGCTCGCCAACAGGAATTGTGCTTACTTACCAACTGTGGTCTTTACCTTAATGCATTTTCCCCCCGTAACTGCGTAATACTGTTTGGCAATAGAACCAAACCATCCCACCCGTCTTCTTTGTGTCAAGAGGCCGAGGAATTGAATTCTGTGCTGATGTTCAACACCAGCATCATTCTGCAGGGAGAACTAGAGATGTCAGTGGTGTTGCAGGTCCATTTGCACTGCCTCGAAGATGCTATATACACGTTGCCTTCTGGTGTCATTACCATTCAGATAATAAGCAATTATAAGTTTCCAGTTTCTAAACCGGACTAGCTAAGTGGTCCATCTAATTCAGTATTCTTCACCATGACCCTCCATCAGACATGGAAAAACCTGCAAGATGAATAACAGAAGTTCTGCTTGTAGTTTATACCACTCCACAGGTGGTGGCTGGTTTGTTTCTAAAGCATCTCTTGCTTTTATAGATCATCGTCATTTTGATAATTTAAATAAGTCAAGCTTTTCAAGCCTTTTTTTCCTGTGGTGAGCCTTCATTGCCCCAGTTATCCTGCAGGCCACCCACTTGGACACTGATGAACAAGAACAGCACAAAGGATTCCTGTAGGATTTTGTGTCACTGCTCGAAAACACTACAGTTATTTCTGTCTTACATGTATCAAGCCAGACATTTCCAAATTTTGCCTTTTTTTGTACTTATATTAACAACCCAAGGTCATCTTGTGATTGAGTTGTTTATCTGAGCCTGTTGTCTTTTCTATCATTTCCAAATTATGAGCTCTCCGATTAAGCAGTAGTTTGGGGTATTTCTTACTCCTCAAATGCATGACTTTTCCCAAATACTACTAAATTTTATCTTATTTCTATTACTGTAATGTTCTAGGTTAACCCAGGTTTTTATGGTACCCTGATCCTCCTCTATATTGGCAATGCTTTATAACCTTGTTTCAACAACAAAGTGTATTATAGCCCATGACTATTTTGGTTGCCAGATGATTAGTAAAAACAAGAGGCCGTTTCAACTTAGCACCAGTCCGTGCTGACACTCTTCTCTATCAGCACTGCACAGTTCTCACTACCCATTTTTTACATTTCATTATTTCCTTACTTATCCTATAATTCCTCTGATAAACTCCACCTTCTCCAGATTTGCATTTAATTTGATGTGCGGCAACACACCAGACACTTTCGTGATATCACATTAGATTAAATCCAATAAAATTTATGTTGTGCAGAAGTCATTTCTCTTAACAAAGAAGACTACCAAGCAAGTCTGGCACTGAGTCTTTAACTTATGTCAAACCAATTAAAATCTATGTGACTGTAATTGATTTTCTGTTTACTTTGATGTTTTTGTTCAATTTTTCCTTCAGTTTTCTGTTGGAAGCAAACTGACAGCTCCTCATTATCTTTTTTTCCTCTTCAGTATAAAAATTATAGTTGCTGTTCTCCAATGATAAGAGGTATTGGACTTCCTCATCACTCCCTGTTTAAGTATATTAAGTGCTTTGAATTATGTTTCCATCATGACTGCAATTCCTTGGCACACCCTTACACCGTTGGCTTTTCCTCCTTGCTCAGTACTCTACCTTTTGTTCCTAAAAATGCAGATGAAATACTTCGTCAGTGTCAAAGTCCTACCTAGGTTACCTTTCACCTCTGCTGTGTCCTGACATAGCGTAACTCCCAGTGATCCCATTTCTTCTTTCCTTGTTCTCTTTTTGTTTGGATAGCTGGAGAACCTTTTGCTATTTGTTTTAATATAATTTTCAGTGTTTAACTCAGCTTGACTTCTGGCAGTTCTCACTTCATCTCAGCACATTGTGAGCTCTTTGCTGATCCATCTTTTGTTTTTTCTTTCTTCATGCTTATTCCTAATCATCTCCTTAGGGTATTTATTAATACAGTGGTGTCTGGATACCCTTCCTGCATTCCTATTTGGACACAAATTGCTAACATTTTTTACAGAAAGAAGCATTGTACATTCAGTTCTTTGAGCTGACTTCTCTAACTCTTTGCATCAATTTATCAAAGTTTCCTATACTGGAATTAAAATGTTTATTACAGATGTACTTGTTCATCTTCTGTTTAATTTAAACTGATTCAGCTTGTGACTTCTATATGGCATTACTTACATTAAGCAAAAGCTAATCTGAAACGCTTTTTTTTCCTTTCACTGGCAAAAAGGAACTTCCAGACTTTCTTATTAGACTCTCAGTATTAAAGTAAGGCTCTACAGTTGTTTCATATGGACTGCACAGTTTCATCACGAGATTGCATGCAGTTTGTTCATGGTAACACCACTTTGCATATTTTGTTTCTCTTAAAGCTTTATTTCTCTTGAGTGTTAATACTGTCAGTGATTTACTTTATCCATTGCCATATCATCATTTATTTCTTTTTTTCCACTTGATGAAGTAGAAGATTTAAAGAAAGCAAAATTGTTCTAGCTTGCTTTTTGTTTTAAATTATATGATACCAGTCCTTTTTTTTTTTTTTTTTAAGAAATCAACCCAAACCAGACCACATACATCATAGTCAGAAGCAAGTAACTCTAAAATGACAGTACCTTTAATCCCGCTTTCAAGTAATGGTTTAACATTAAGTTGAAGGGCAGAGATTTCACAAGCTATCAAATCTACTTTGCATCTGTAGCTGCATAAGGCTTCTGTAACATAAGTCCTACAACTCTTTTCATGTCATGCCTGATAAGGTGAGTGCCTCCTGGCATGCTGTTATCGATAGACATTGTTACACATGTTCATGTACATGAAATATAGAGAAAACATGAGCATTGCTCTATTTTATTTCATTCAGTTAATAGAATGTACATATTAATCTTGTAATTGCTTCTTCTGATTGTTTTCTTGAATTCTATGTTTTACTAGACTGTAAAGGATTTACAAAAAATATAGCTGTATGTTATGATGTTATGTCTTTTACAGGATTCCCATATTCTAAATCTGCTTCTCTACCTGGCTATGGCAAGAATGGCTTACATCAGGTAAGTGTGCATTTCAATGCATTCTCCAGGCAATAGTGCATCACAAATAGGCAGCTTAGTTACTGGTTGAAAATCTACACAGTAATAACACTTCAAAGGTGTTTTGGCTGCTAGCCCTCTGACAAATTCATGTCCTGTGTGAGTTACAGTTAGTCTGTCTGCAAGAGGAAGACAGACTGAGGCTTCTTTGGATTTTTTGTGTCAGGAGCATCAGGAGCCTTGATACTCCTCCCAAAACAAATGAAGGTCCAAAATGTACAGGCAGCACACATGAATAGATCACAGTGTATCTTGAATTAATGATAGGGAGGGTTAGGCCTATAATTAGCAAGTAATGATCTTAAAGGAAAGGTGGAGCAGCCTGCATCCATTGCATTTTTAGAACCATCTGTTCTGTTTTTTTCCAGTATGCTTGTGTATACACACACATGTATGCACATATGGGGAATGTAGAGAGAATGGCAGAAACCTATAAAGCAAAATGCATAACATAATTATAACCAGATCAGATGAGGAGTTCTTTTCCTCATCCTTTGTTACAGTGTTTGCAATTCATAAGGGAAAAGGCATATTTGACACTGTGATCTCATTTTCTCTCTGGCACCCAGCATTATGGCTTCTCAGTTCATGGCTTATATTTTTAGGTACAAACCCTTAATGGTTAATAGTGATAAGGTGGCAACACATAGATGCACCTGCACTTGCATTTTGAAGATTGATTTGTCTCTAAATTACATGGACAGGACCTCACTCAAATTCCCTCTTTTCTCCAAAGGAAGATATGAGAGCTGCAAAAGTACATGAGCAGGATTAAACTTCCTCAGTGATGAGAGTCAAACTGTAGGTCATTGCAAGGAGCTAAAAGAAAGCAACTATCAGAGAGTGGCTAAACTAATTTTTCCATATCTTCTGCTATGTCCACCCCTTTGAATTAATATTACAAGACTAATTGTGCCTGCATTGCTTCAACACCTGACTGCTTGAATTCCACTTTGAAGGATCTAGTGGCACTGTAACTTGATCAGATGAGATTTAGGAGTCAACAGCTTTTTTTCTGACTTTTCAGAATAACTGTTACCAGTAACCTGAAGAGAATGAGAGACCAACTTGCACCCAGCCACTGTTCTCATGAGGCACCAAAACACTCAGAAGGCTCCACACAGATAAGGCCACTCTAAACTCCATCAGTAGTGGAGCTGGCTGCACTTGCAGGCTGAAACCATGCAATGCAATCTGAAAGCAGAAGATGGCAGCATTTGTCCCGTGTAAAGGGTCCAACCTCACAGCCGAGAGCTGTAGGAAAGTTGGAGGTTGCTGATAGTCAAATCCTTGAGGCCAAAATTCTTCTCAGAATGTCCTCTGTTTGGATTGCAGGTTCATACTAGCTTTTGTGGTTTGCTATTTTTAATCAGCCATCCTAGTGCTGCATAACAAAATAAACTAAAAACAAACAATAAGGAGCCTTGCAGGTTATTGTGAGTGTAGCTGTGCACACCATCAATACCCTAACAGACAAAAATGAGACTCAGGGAAAAGAAAAGTCATATCGTAGTGCTTTTCTGATCTCTTGTAATGTTTGTCATCATAGCATCTGCCAGCAAAGAAAAAAGAAAGCAGTTCAGACAAAGCTATGGCACATAAGCACAATTCTCCCTGGTCTTACTGGCATCAGCAGTGTGAAGCAGACAGCAGAATGATACAAGTTGCAGTGCAGCATAAGTGATCTGGTCTGCTGTGGTGACTGCAGCAAGATGTCTGCATGGTAGAGAAAGGCAGTTTCAGTCTAACCTTATTGCCAGATCTTCAAATGGATGTGGATGGTGGCTTTCTGACACTCACTTCATTGAAAGCTGTGAGGAAAGAGCTCAGAAAGTCCCAAGAACCCTGGGGTGATGGGGGTTAATATAACACTGCAGTTACCTCTTTTGCTGGTCTATAGGAGTTCACAGCATAGGTAGCAAACTACACCTGCAGTGCCTACAAAGACCCAGGCTCTCATTTGGGTCTCACTTCTTCCTCTTCTACAGGTAGAGCTCCATCTCTGCGATTGTAGATTGATGAGTGCTGGGAGTACTCAAGATGCCAGCTTTGAGCAATTAGGTCAAGTTCCAATGGGACTTTATTTTTCTCATTCACAGGGATCTATATTTTGATTATGTGGTATTCAGTGGTTTCTTTTTTTTTCTTGATAATGTGCAGAATGGTTTTGAGGTGCATGTTGCTGCTACATTGCTTTCTCTTTCAGCCTGAAAATATGGGCCAATATGAAATGGACCAGGAGGCGACCTGGGGGATGAAAGGTACCTTTCAATATCATTTCTGCTCCTAAGTTTGTTTGCTTTGAGGATGCTTGTTAACATATTGCCATAAAGGTTACTGTTCTGAGGTTTTCCCATAGTTCATGTAATAATGCCTAGACAGAGTCCCAGCCCAGTGTCATATTTATCACAGAGAATCTTCTTTTTATCTAAGCAAACTCAAAAAATCTGACTGAAGTCCTGCATCTTAAAGTGATGCAACCAGGCTGAGTCAATCCTGGTATCCTCAATATATGGCAACAGCCTCTGCTGGTGGTCTCATACCAAAGAGAGAAAGAAATTTAAAATAATCACTAATTCAAGACATATCTAATAATAAAGAAAAATAAATTTAAAAGCCCATTGTGCTTCTTTTTTGTCCTACAGTGTAGTTAAAAAGTACAGAATTCAAATAGCAGAATTGATTTGCATTCATCTTTTTGTTACAGTTTAAGTGAACTGTGAACTTAATATGAAACTTGGTTTGAAAAGTTCAAAAGAGCTGAGTAATGTAGGAACTCTTGGAGAAGAGCAGGATTTTCTTTCCAAGACATTTAATCTCATTCAAAAAATCCTACTCTGATGCTCCACTTCATGCCTGTGTGTTGATACAAATCTTGTGTTTGAATAGTTTGAAGTACAGATTTTAAAACTTATGTCTGACATAATTTCAGACCATAAAAAGGTCTGTGAGAACATACTGACTATACTGGTTGCATTTAATCAGCAATTGAATAGGTGACCTTGTGGTAGTCATACTATATATAGTCTTATACTGACCTAACTAGAATACGTCTGCTAGTTTAGATCCAGGAGTCATGGTCCCCATGTCCCCAGTTCCTCCTTTCTTCACTATTGATATTCCCAGTGCAGTCAGTCTAAGTGCAGGATAGTGGTATCTTGGAACATTGTATTAACTCAGTGATTTTTACATGTTTTCCCAAACTGACATCCCTGTAATAATCTGTATATTTTAAGTATTTTCAATAAAGAAAAATAAGGACATGACTTTTGGGTGAGAGATTAACTTAACTCTGCACAAAAGCCTCCTGTAAGAAGACATTCTCAATTTTGCCAGACACTGACTGTGTAAACCAATGGCATCAGGAAATGGATTTTCAATAATAAGCCTTTGATTTCAAGGACTATTGCTTCAGTAATAAGACAGTGCTATAGGCATTCAGAGCACAGGGGTCAAATGCTTAGTATGCATGAGTTATCCATGCGAGAAGTGTAGTAGCATAACAAATTGCTGATGTACCTCAATGTTCATTGCTTTGATGCCAAAAGAAGCCTATAAATTCTAAACTGTGAACCTGTTCTCATTCTCTTGCAGAATACAAGGTAAGAAGGGCTTTTGCAACACTGGAAGAACACTCAGATTCAGCACTTCCTAGCAAGGTTACATGTGTCCTTTTTGTTTTATTTTATGTTGTTATTTTTTTGTCCCAGTGAAATACTCATTAAATCAGGATGCAAGTGTGTACCATATAAATTAGTAAGTTCCCACACTGTCATTTCCACACATCAGAATCAGATTTGCCTGGAGTTCATCTACTCTTGTTTTTTCAACAGATTTATCCTTATGAAACACTTATTGTAACAAACCGAGTTCGTGTGAAATTGCCGAAGGATGTGGACAGGACCAGGCTGGAGGTAGGAATGATGTTTGCTTGATGGTCTTGCATATCTGTCTTGTTTGTTTATCATCTATTCCTGTGCCCAAGTAATAGCAATGAAAGAAGAGAGGAATAACGTTACATATTTTAATTGAAAACACTACCATGCAGGCAGTTTAACTAAAAAAGAAGAGCTAAAAACATACCAAATGTCTGATCAAATGGTGTTTTACAAAGATCTGATCAAACCCATCAGCTTCAGAGGATTATACAGGATATTGAAAGTTAGAATGGAGCAGATGGAAACTTGTGTTTTGTTTTTTTTTTAAATCTTACAAAAAAACCTCTCCTACAATAACCTCAGTATTATAAAAAAGCTCCATTTATCCTGAAAATACATGGACCAATGTTTCTAGTCCATTATCTTATTCAGCCTCCCATTTCGCTATGTAATCCATGATTGCTTTGCTATAGATTTGCTCCAGCATCCACCTCTGTTGAAGAGTAGGAGTATAAGCTTAAGACATGCAGTTATAATTTATCATAAGGGAAAACTTTGTTTCTAAACACCACATCCTGAAGTTAATGAGGCTGATTTTTTGGACTGAGTAATGACAGTACTGAATAAAGACTCCCTAAATTATTTAACTAATGTATCTTTGTGTAAATTGCTATCAAGAAGAAGAGATAGTTCAATAAAAATTATGTGATTAAAAATGTTGGACCTTTGGGAAGATCTATGTTTAAATAAAAGTATTGTATTTTTAACTTTATAATGTGATGAGAGAAGAAGAAAGAAAATTTAATCTTAAAGCAAAAAAAAAAAAAAAAAGAAGAAGAACTATGAAGTAACACAACGTTCCTCATTAAAGATAAAGTTTAAAAAAAAGAAATCTCTTACCAAATTCTTCTACATGTTTTGGAAATTATGTATGTTCTTAAATAGTTCAATGTGCGTGTTGCTTGATTACCTGGCAAGTGGGATTGATTTGATTGAAAGGAAAAAAAGCCTGGAGTATAGCAAAGGATGATAGCAATAATAAAAAGCATAATGAGTCCAGAAGAAGGATCAGGGAGTTGAAGGGATACTGATCTGGACACATCCTATAAAGGAGTCATTTTTATATATATATATATATATATTTATACACACACACACATATATATGTCTGTGTATTAAAGAAAAGAGTTTTCTTTTAAGACATCAGGCTGGTCTGAATAGCAAATGCAGCTCCAAATTGCTTTTTCAAGACAACATACAATTTGTTTTGGATGGATCGTGCCTGTCCTGGCTGCCATTATCCATAAGTCGTACGCTGTCCTCAGCTGGGATCTCTGTTTGTTTAACATGGGAGTCGCTCAGGCTGCCTCACACCAGGTGCAGCCCAGTGCCTGATGGCTCAAGGAGCCCGACCACTTCAAAGATCTCCCAGAGGTTTGCAAAAAGAACAACAAACAAGATCTGCTTCAAACCTGCACAAGGAAAGCGATAAGGGGAGCGGGCTGATCCTGCTGGTTGCTGCGCTATGTTAGACATGTGAGTCTGCAGGAAGGATTCCTTTGGAGACCATTTTACATTTATTAGAGATTGGTAGTGTTTTAAACAATTAAAGAGGCAGTGTTTTAATAGGATTATAACTACTGGAAAAACAGAGGCAGCAGCTCATCTACACGTTGAAACCATGTGCAGAGCTGAGTGACAGGCACAAACTGTTGCCTTCCCTGCCAGCCTCTCCCCCTCCTCCCTCTGCCTTCCTTCTGCCTTGCAAAATTGCTGGAAATATGTGGCTTTGAATAGAAAAGCAGTTTATCATTATTTCCTCCTGTGGTAGAAGAAGAAGATTGTAACTTGGTTGCTGAATCCGTTCATCAGATTTCAGAGCTGGGAAGGACCCAAAGGAGTCTGATACTGTGTGAGTTTATAGGTTTGCACAGGAACAGACCAGGATTAGACACCCACACTGTCTGGTAGTAGAGGAGCCACTTAGCCTGTCTTCATATCTCCAGGTTTTGGGGGCAATACTCAGAATACTGGAAGTAGGTATTCAGGTTAGAATTCACCTTTTCTTGAGTGCCATTTCACATTCACTGGAGGATATGATTCAGTGCTCACAGATCTCTAGGAAGCATGGGCTCTCTCCAACCAGAATGGATTTCTGGTTGATTTTCTGTTTTCATCCTGCACAGCCCGTGTCACTCCTGAAAGGGCTGGATTGTGCCTACAGAAATGGGAAAGGTGGTAGCAGTCATGTATTATCCAAACTGTAAAGTGATTCTCTTGGAAAATCTGCCAAGAAAACATCCATGTTCTAACATTCCAGTTTTGTTACAGTCACAGAATTACAGAATGTCCTTGGCTGGAAGAGCCCTCCAAGATCATCCAGTCCAGCCCTAGACCTAACAGCACAAGCTCACCACTAGACCATGTCCCTAAGCACCAGGTCCACATGCTGTTTAAATGCATCCAGAGATGGTGACTGCACCGCTTCCCTGGGCAATCTATTCCAATGCCTGACAACCCTTTTGGTGAAAAATGCTTCCTAATGTCTCACCTAAACCTCCCCTGGCACAGCTTGCATACATTCCCTCTGGTCCTATCACACATCACCAGGGAGAAGAGGCTGTCCTCCTCATCACTCCAACCTCTTTTCAGGTAGTTGTAAAGAGCAATGAGGTCTCCCCTCAGCCTCATCTTCTCCAGACTAAACAACCCCAGCTCCCTCAGCCACTCCTCATAGGGCTTATGTCAGTTCTGTGGGCTGGAAACTCACTTTGCTCTTGCTGCAAATCAGAGCAAGCTTCTGGCTGTTGACAGCCAACTGGTGGTGCCAGTGAAAGGGTACCTAGAATCCTTGTGGTCTATATCAACTATCAAACCTGAAAGCAGTCTAACTGTGTCCTGTATCGTTAGATTATATCACATGTGATGGTTCTGATTTCCTGGTCTACGTAGGAGCAATAGGGTGACTAAATCCACATGAGCTAGAATTAACAGCTCTCTTGCAAGTTGGTTTGAAGCAGGCTCCTGAGTTTGTAGTGAACTTGGAATGAGTCGGCAAAGATGTCATGGAAAATGTGCTGTTGTTTGTCTTGGATTCTCTCTTCCAAGGGAAGTCTCCTACATTGACTGTTCCTGTATTGAAAAGTGAACTCAAGTGAATGGTATTAGCTCCTTGGGTCAAATGAAGGGAGACTGTAATGAATGCCTCAGCTAATGATCAAGGGCCACAGGAGGGTGGGGTTTTAATGGGTGGAAGTGTTTTCCTAACTGCTCCCATTGTGAGTATTTTTTAGATTACACTGTTGTGTAAGAAATATATTTTAAGCATTATACAAAATATTTTCTAGTAAAAATGCATATTTTCCTAAGCCCCAGAGATATCTAAAGATTAGGAAGGCTCAACTGGTAATAAATGCATTCAAATAACAGGAATTCCTTCTTCAAAAGCACATTTATCTAAGTGTAGAAACATTGAGCATGTTTTTGTTTGTGTGTTCTAACCCAGCAGTGAGGCAGAAGTGAAGCCACTTCCTTGTGCTCCTCCAGGAGATGTTTATGCCAACAGTGAATTAATACATGCAACATTGAGAAGTGGTTGGAACAAATGACCTGCTGATTGTAAAATATGTTATTGGCACTCTGACTTTTGAATGAATACCCTGGAACTTTGTTTAGTATAAACATTAAAAATGCAAGGAATTTACACTAGATAAGGATGTGTCCCAGGCATATTGTTTTTAGAAGTTTCTCTAACACAGTGAGGCTTGTTTTAGCAGTAAATGAACAAAGCAGCAGTTTGTGAGCTATTCTAATGGGAAATGGTGAAGAGCAAGTTAACTCAGGTAATTACAAAGCAGTAGGACAGAAGTGGATTGTACATTCTGGGTGATGAAGAGGAACTGCATCCTCTCCACATCTGCAGGTGACACAGACTGGGGAGGACAGTAGTTGGTGCTCTGCTGAGCAAAGTCTCTCTTCAGAGGGACGTGGCCAGGCTAAAGGAATGGATCGACAGGGACTTAATGTTCAACACAGGTAGATCCAGATTCCTGCACTTGTGACAGAACAGCACCATTCATCAGCACAAGAGCGGAGGAACAGCTCTGCAGAAAAGTACCTGATGGTCCTCATGGAGAACAAGCTGAACATGAGGCAGCAGCTCACTTTTGCAGTAATGGGGTTATAGAGGAAAACACACCCTTCTCAGAAGTAGGCACTAGAGGGCCAAGAGGCAATGGTCACAAGTTGCAGGAGGGGAAAATCACATTTAGATGTAAGGGAAAAATTCCTCGCTGAGAAAGTAGTGCACTGGAGCAGGTTGTCCAAGAGGCTGTGGAGTGTCCATCCCTGGAGGCCTGCAAAGCTCAGCTGGATAAAGCCTTGAGAAATGTGGTCTAATTTGAAAGATGGACCCACATGGAAGGCCTCCACAAGTTCCTGCTTTGCTTATGTTGATATATTCTGTGAAGACAAAGCCTTAACATAGCATAATTACAAAATAGGATTATTTGGTGCTTTTGTTGCAATAGCATTTGAAAAAATACAACATATTTTTTGGTCTATCTTGCAACATTTTATCAAAAGGATCATTTTATCATTGACAACCTCTTTTCACTTGTGCCCTCTGATAGGACAAGGGGCAATGGGGATTCAAACTTGAGCACAGGAAGTTCAACCTCAACGTGAGGACAAACTTCTTAACTGTGAGGGTTACAGAGCACTGGAACAGGCTCCCCAGAGAGGTTGTGGAGTCTCCTTCTCTGGTGGCTTTCAAGACCTGTCTGGATGCCCCTCTGAGAGATCTACCCTAGTGGGTTTTTTTTGGTCCTGCTCTGGCAGGGCGGTTGGACTCAATGATCTTCGGAGGTCCCTTCCAACCCCTAATATTCTGTGATTCTGTGATTATGCAGGGGCTTAAATGTAAGTGTCCTGGAGCAAACTTCCCTCTGTTGGACAACTTAAGTACAGAGTTTTCAGGGCCTAAGGCCTTTGGATGGTACGCATTAGCACATTCCTTAACCACTGGTTTCCCAATG